TTGTTTATTAATCCACTCTGCTACTATGTGCCTCTTTATTGGGGAATTCAGACCATTTACGTTTAGGGTAATTATTGATGGATGAGGATTATGTATAGCCATTTCATTTTTTGTTTTCTGGTAGTTCTGTGCCTTCATTGGTTCTTTTCCTTTGTTTCTGTCTGTTATTTTTGTTTGGTTGTATTCTATACTTCTTTCCTTTGTTTCCTCTTTTGAAGCTATGTATCCTGGTTTGGGGATTTGTGTGTGTGGTTACTATTAGGTTTGTAAAAATAAACTTGTATATATACTGTAGTATTTTTTCTTTTGAGTGCATCTGATATTCATCCTCCTTTGCCAGTTCAGACTTTTCTCCCTCTTCTTTTATGTTTTTGTCACAAATTATAAATGTCAAAAAGTTAACCAACTATAATTCAACAAAGAAATCCCTGCTCAACACAGACGCATGTCTGAGAGACCAGCACATTGAAACATCTAGACGTGGGAAACCAGGAATAAATGGGGAGACAAGAATGGAGGAAAATGAAGATGGCCCACAGATGCAACCCTGCAAGCAGGAGCTCACCACCCACCCAGGAGAGGAAGGATGCTGGTGGTAGCAGGAGCTTCCTTTGGCTTGAAGAACAGAGAACTGCCGGGGAAGGGCAGTTAAGCAGGGCAAGCAGCAATTGGAATGAACAGTGACTGAGTCAACAGACTCCTGACAGAGCACACAGTTCTGCCATATAGAAATCCACTGTTGGGCCAGGGCGTGGTATTTCAGATAAGAAGTGCAACCACTGAGCCTCCCACCACTCCCAAAGCTCTCCTCCTTTTGCCCTGGGAGTTGGGTTGAGGAGCATATTATCCATAAACCAAGCGCTGTTGCAGTAGAACCACTGTATGTATCCCTCTGTGACTGATCCCCAGGAGGAGTACTTGGGACAGGACCCCACAGAGGTCAGGTGTTGTGATTACAGTGAGGGCAAAACAAACTCCACCTCCAAGCAGCATATCTGTATTGTCTTAGGGAAGCTGTGGAGGTCCAGCCTGGGAGACCACAGAGGTAAAAAAAATCTTGCAATTCAGTGCCATCTACTAGAAAATAGTAGGAAAACCTCTTCACTAATATGGACAGATATAAATGCTTAGGCAAAGAAGAACTTCAAATACCATGAATAACCATGGTAATGAGGATGATCAGAAAGAAAATGAAAAAACTCCAGAAAGCAAGCTGGAACACATGGATATATGTGATATAAATGACAGATTTCAAGATTGCAGTTCTGAAAATAATAAAATGTGAGAAAATACACACAGGCAATTCAATGTACTCTGAAAACAAGTCAAAGAAAAAAATGAGTACTTTACCAAAGAGATTGAAACTTTAAAGAAGAAGTCAGAAATCCTAGAAATGAAGCATGCAATTAAGGAGATTAAGAGTACACTACTGGGTGGGGGGTGGACAGGAGCAGGATGGAAAAGGTTAATGGAAAAACGAGGACCTATGTAATACTTTCAACAACAAAAAATGTTTTAAGAGTAAACTACTGAGCCCAGCCGGCATGGCTCAGTTGAGCATCAGACTATGAAACAGGAGGTTGCAGTTCCATTCCTGGTCAGGCCACATGCCCAGGTTGCAGGCTCGATCCCTAGTAATGGGGTTTTCAGGAGGCAGCCAATCCGTGATTCCCTCTCATCATTGATATTTCTATCTTTCTGTCCCTCTCCCTTCTTTAAAAATATGTATTAAAAAAGAGTAAACTACTGAGCATAGAAAACAGCCAATCAGATGGAGGAAAGAATTAGTGATATCAAAGATAGGAATCTAGAAATTAACGAGAGAGAGACGGGAGCATAAAGAAGAAGAAATGAAAGAGCCCTACAAGGACTATGTGATTCCATTAGAAAAAGCAATATTAGAATAATAGGCATTCTGGAGGAGGAGAAGAGGGAGCATGGAATAGAGAGTCTATTCAAACAAATAGTGGATGAGAACTTTCTAAACCTATGGAAAGAACTAGATCTTTGAATCCAAGAAGCAAACCAAATACCTAGTGTCCTCAATCCAAAGAGGCTCTCTCCAAGGCATTTGTTACTGAAGCTGTCAAAAATTAATGACAAAGAAAAAATTCTCAAAGCAGCCAGGGAAAAGAAAGAAGTGACTTACAAAGGAAAACCCATCAGAATTTCATCAGACTTCTCAGCAGAAACTGTACAAGCCAGAAGAGATTGGAACCAAATATTTAAATGTCTGAAAGAGAGAATTTACCAGCCACGAATAATATATCCAACAAAATTATCCTTTAAATATGAAGGAGAAATAAAAATGTTCCCATCCATATGGAAGCTGAGGGATCTTATCACCAGAAACCCTTGATTGCAGGAAATACATAAGGAAGTTATTCTACATGAAACATTGAACATAAAGTTAATCTTCATTTATTAAGAGTAATGGGTTGATGATTGTATAGTGTCACTTTTTATTCTGTTTTTAGTACTTCTGGAATTGTTTAGATGTAATCAGACTTCACAATTTTATGTTTCATATTCGGCACTATGATGTATATAATAGGGAAGAACAGATTTTCAATTCAGATTACATTTCAGTTTCTTAGGGACAAACATTAAAATAAAAATTGGTAAGCATTTAATTTTTGGTGGGAATATATTGTTTAATATTTATAGTAAAAGAAGGGAGTGTATTATGTTCATTGCACAATTTGTACATAGTATTCATGTGAAACTAATATTCTTAAAGGCTGCATGTATGGCAAAGAATCAAATTTTTAAAGTATACTTAAAATGTAAGTAATATTCTCAAATAATATTGCTTTACCTATGTATATGATTTTGAAGTATAGCACATGTTGGTAAATCTAGAAATGTACTAAATTTCTGGTTTGAAGTTGCCTTTCATTGAATCAGTAGAAATTAAGATATGTACTAAGATTTTATTTTGTAATGATTTCTGAAAAGCCCTTTTTATAAAACCAGGTATTTTCTGTATTCCCTCTTTTTTTCCAAACTTAAATTCCATATGTTACTTGGTTTTAGAAATACAACTTTTTAAATTTGGGAATTTTTATGTGAGCATATTTTATGACCACTACTTTTTTTAAAAAAATTATCTTTATTGTTGAGAGTATTCCAGATGGCTCCCCCCTCCATTTTTTCCCATTGACCTGATACACCCTACACCTGCCCCTCCCAGGCCTTCACCACACTATTGTCTGTGTCCATGGGCTATGCATCTATGCATATAAGTTTCCCTGTTAATCTCACCCCATTACCCACCCCTGCCTTCCTTCTGAGATTCTTCAATCTGTTCCATGCTTCTGTGTCTCTGGATCTATTTCGTTCATCAGTTTAATTTGTTCATTAGATTTCACATGTGAATGAGATCATATGATACTTGTATTTGTCTGGCACATTTCACTTAAAATAATACTCTCCAGGTCCTTCCATGCTGCCTCAAATGGTAAGAAACCCTACTTTTTTACAGCTGCATAGTATTCCATGATATACATGTACCACAACTTTTTTATCTACTCATCTATTGATGGGCACTTGTGCTGTTTCCAGATCTTAGCTATTGTAAATTGTGCTGCATATAGGGGTGCATATATTCTTTCTGGTTGGTGTTTCATGTTTTTTTAGGATATATTCCCAGAAGTGGGATCACTGGGTCAAATGACAGTGCCATTTTAAAATTTTTGACCAAATTCCATACTGTTTTCCATAGTGGCTAGACCAGTCTGCATTTGACCAGCAGTGTAATAGAATTCCCTTTTCTTCACATCCTCACCAGTACTTGTCATTTGTCAATTTGTTGATGATAGCCATTCTGACAATGTACATCTCCTGGGGCAGTGGTTGGCAGACCGCGGCTCTCGAGCCACATGTGGCTCTTTGGCCCCTTGAGTGTGGCTCTTCCACAAAATACCACGTGCGGGCACGCACATACAATGCGATTGAAACTTCGTGGCCCATGCACAGAAGTCAGTTTTCGGCCTGGGCGAGTCTATTTTGAAGAAGTGGCATTAGAAGAAGTGGGGGGTGTCAGTCAGTCGGATGACAGGAGACGCAGCGCAGGCGGGCTGCGGGATATGCAGCGCGTGGTGGCGCCAAATAGCAACAGTACTTAAACTGTATAGATAGGTTAATAACAATGTACCTACCTATATAGTTTAAGTTTAAAAAATCTGGCTCTCAAAAGAAATATCAATCGTTGTACTGTTGATATTTGGCTCTGTTGACTAATGAGTTTGCTGACCACTGTCCTAGGGCAAGGGAAACTAAGGAGAAAATAAACAAATGGGACTACATCAAAATAAAAAGCTTCTGTACAGTAAAAGAAAACATCAACAAAATGAAAAGGGAGCCCACTGCATAGGAGAACATATTTGACAATGATATATCTGATAAGGGGTTAATTTCCAAAATATATAAGGAATTCATACAACTTAACAAAAGGAAGACAAATAATCCAATTAAAAAATGGGCGCAGAGGACCTAAATAGACACTTCTCTAAAGTAGACATACAGATGGCCAAGAGACATGGAAAAAACTCTTGTCACTAATCACCTGAGAGATGCAAATTAGAACGACAATGAGGTATCACCTCACATTTGTTAGAATGTTCTAATTTTTATGTTATTAAATTTGGTATAAGGATTTAACTTAAAATATTGAATGTGAAGGAAGATTATTTTATCTTTCCCAAACCATTTTAATTAAAGCTATATAGGTATTAAATGTTATATATGTACATATATATGTATATATATATAAATTGAAACCTGTGAATAGTTTTTTATATAATGTGATCATCATGTAGTATATCTGTTGTACACCTTTTTTTCATGAAACATACCACTTTTAATGGTTGTATAATAGGTCATTAAATGAATACAGTGGGTAGGTGGTTAACATGCTATTTCTTATTGCACTTATGCTTAACACCCACTAAATGTCGGTTACTTTTTGACTGAGATATATACTTTTTTATATTTTACAGTGGATGATGTTGGGGGGAAATTGGAGCATATGGGGAACACACCATTAAAAATCGGCAGTGATGGTTCACAAGATGTTAAAGAAGATGGATTTGGTTCAGAAGTAATAAAAGTGTATATATTTAAAGCTGAGGCTGAAGATGATGTTGAAATAGGTACAAAGACTTAGTTTTTTGCTGTAATAGTCAATAATTAGAACTTATTCTTATCTTTTCTAGAGACTATACATAAATTGACTTAAAAGTGCAGAATTTTTTATAGGTTTCTTTGGGGATGGAATATAAAAATGCATATGAAATATGAAACAGGAATTGAGAATATATCATACTTAGGTTCTTTCAAACATGAGTAGAATATTACAGTTGATATATTAAAACAAATGAGTGGAGAGGATTTAGTTTATTGGTGAAAATTATAATGAGTATTTAAGGGCAGGCTAGAATTGCCTGCTTGGATTTCAGTCCTAGTTCTGCCATTTAGCTGAGTGGCCTTTTGTGATTTACTTAACCTCCTTCTGCCTTAGTGTTCTCATCCGTAAAGTAAGCCATAATGATAATAACTACCTCATGGGGCTTTTGTGAAGATTAAATGTAAAGGTCTTATAGAATGCTTGGCGTATAAGTGTGATGTGTTATATTTGTTATTTTTCAGTGATGTATAAAAAGTTAAACTGTAAATTATAAGAAAATTTTCTTGACATTTAGAAATTTGTACTGGAATATTTTGGAAGAATATTTTTCTAAAAATTTATTATATTCTCATTAATTTAAGAAATTATTCCATGATACTTCTCTATTTTGATATGTGTTTTAATTTTTTAAGGTGGAACAGAAATTGTCACAGAGAGTGAATACACCAATGGACATTCTGTAGCTGGAGTGCTTGACCAGAGCCGAATGCAACGGGAGAAGATGGTTTACATGGCGGTTAAAGATTCTTCTCAAGAAGAAGATGATATCAGTAAGAACAAAAGGGCACTGGAGTGACTTATTAGTAGCCATCATGCATTCTTTTAAAAAATAAAGTATTCCCAGAAATACAAGCACTATATAGGAAAAAAAAAAGTCAGTAAAAATAAGCTTGACCCTTTGCTAAAATAATTTAAAAGGGAAGGGTCCTTTTGATTATTCATACATACATGTATTGCTCAAATTAGCAAATATGAAATAGTATGTCCAGATACCAGGGATACAGAGATCAGCAATATACTGTTGCTGGCTTCAATAGAACCCACAAAGATACAGGGAATTATGGAGAATCTACTTTCTCTGTGTTAATGGATATGTCATGTGTATATTATCTCATTTAATTCTCACACCTCATCTGTGAAGTAGGTGGTATTATCCCTGTTTTATACAGGGAAAAAATGCTCAGGGAAGTTAAGTAATTACCCAAGGTCATTCCAATATTAAGTGAGGAAGGTAGGGTTTGAATTCCTATCTATTACTCTACTGCCACTGTTCTTTCCGCATGGCAATTACCACTGTTGGCCTTTATCTGGATTTAGCAGTGAAAGGGAAAACTGGTTGTTTGCCTACTATCCCTGAGGGATTGGTTGAGTAAGTATTTTTCCAAGTCAAGCTGCCAGGATCTTTACTTATGATTCCTTTGATAGTCTCCAAGTAGTTGCTATTTAAGGCTTCTTAGGGCTGAGTATCACAGAGTGATCAAAGATCCTCAGATTTCCTTTCCTGCCATTTCCTTATGAAGACATTTTATTCTCTGCTTACTTTCTTCTCACTTCTTTGTAGGAATGCAGCCTTTCCCTAAGGCTTCTTCTGTCTTCTTGCCATACTAAGACAAAAACTGCTTTGTTTTGCCCTAGAAGGGCAAGAGCCTCCACTTAAGTGCATTACCTTGACAGTACCCATCTTTACCTATACTGCATTTTGATCCCCACTCCTCAAATTTCCTTCCCTTAAAAGCCATGGGGAACTGGATTCTAATTCCAAACATGAATAATATACTATACCTGAAAATATTGAAACAAATTTGTCTAAAGGATTTGATTGAAGAGGTAGAGAGTTAAATGAAATAATTTCTATTTGGTCTCTAAAGTCTTTATTTTTATTTTTTCATCATTGGTAAGTAAAGGGGCACGGTAGAAGGTGGGAGATGGAGACTTAGGTTACCTGATTCCAGAATTCCATGGGAATGTGTGTAACTTACACCAATGACTTTTTCTGGTTAATTGAAAGGACAGAAACTGAGAAGAAGAGGAGCACTTTTTCCCCACATGTGGCCCTTGTTTCTTCTATAGGGAACAGAAGATCTCATTATGTGAATGAAAGGATAAGCATAAATTCAAGACAATTTAATGAATCTCATTTATTGCTTTTTTCCTTTAATAAAGTCTCAGAAAATCCTATCTTTTGACTGAAAGGGCGTCCACATATTCTTGAGCACCAACAATATATATATATATATGACATGTAATATTTTATATATATATATATTTGACTTTAATTTAAAATGTTTTCATTATTAATATTTTTTACCATTTTCATTGAATATACAGTACCGTATGTAAATTGCAATATGTGAGATAATCATGGGCCACTTTTCTAGTATTGATGCTACAGGAAATGCTTTCTGAGTTCCAAATAACTACCAGGCAGAATTATGGAATACAATTCTTTTTTTTTTAATATATATATTTTATTGATTTTTTATAGAGAGGAAGGGAGAGGGATAGAGAGTTAGAAGCATCGATTAGCTGCCTCCTGCACACTCCCCACTGGGGATGTGCCTGCAACCAAGGTACATGCCCTTGACCAGAATCGAACCTGGGACCCTTGAGTCTTCAGGCTGATGTTCTGTCCACTGAGCCAAACCGGTTAGGGCTGGAATACAATTCTTTTAATATAGTTATGCCAATGGACTATAAAATCAGTCAATATATTTCAAGCACACATATTTTATATAATCTAAAAGCCATTTTTATAGGAGGACTAGGTTCTAAGAGGAGAAAAATAATTTTGATAAATTATTTTCTCCCAGTGGCACTAGCTTCTAAATTGCCTATTGTAATTTTTAAATTAACCAAATTGAAATAATGAAAGTTAAAAGATTTAAATTGTTTGGAATTTTTACCCATTTATTAAATATTTAGGGTTATAAACAAGCAATTATTTCTAAAATTTAGGTTGTGCTGAAATAGCAGATGAAGTTTACTAGTATATGGAAATCATTGTAGGGGAAGAGGAAGGAACTTATCTCCCTGAAACTCAGCTTGAGGACTCTAATGTTAATAAAACAATTGCCCCTGTTGTCTGGGCTGTGGCATATGGTAGGACATTGACATTTTTTCACCTGATAAGTACATAACATATCTCATTTTACCAGCCTTTCGGTCATTAAATATGTTGTGCTAATACCCTTTATGAATTGGCTAATATTATAAAACTAGAGGCCCAATGCACAAAATCATTCAAGGGGCTCGGCCCTCACAGCTCCTGCTTTGTCTGGACGGTCGTTCTGCTGTTGGGCCGTTCGTCCAATTTGCATATTACGCTTTTATTATTATAGATGTTTTGCTGTGGACTGATTCATCTCTAGTTACCTACATGATTTTCCTACCACATATATTGGGCTATTTAAAACGAACCTTGCTGCCCTGACCGGTTTGGCTCAGTGGATAGAGCGTCGGCCTGCGGTCTGAAGGGTCCCGGGTTCGGTTCCGGTCAAGGGCATGTACCTTGGTTTTGGGCACATCCCCGGTGGCAGGTGTACAGAGGGCAGCTGATCGATGTTTCTCTCTCATTGATGTTTCTAACTCTCTATCCCTCTCCCTTCCTCTCTGTAAAAAAAAAATCAATAAAATATATTTAAAACGAACTTTGCTTAATGCATTGTGCTTTTCAAATAGGATTTATTTAAAATCCTACCTATATAAGTAAGTGCCATAAAATTTTTAATTTTTCTAAAATAGGGATATCCTTTGAAAATTCTTCCCCTTTTGGAAAATGGTATTTTCATGTATTAACACCACAGATAATAAGATTTTGAGGTTTTAAAAAGGAACAAAAACCCAGGTTATAAAAAGTAAATTTATCAAGTTATTTTTTCTTTCTACTTTATTTTGTTCCTACTTAATTTACAAGATTGTCCATGTATACTCTGAAAAATTTTGGTGTTCAAATGTATTAATTTATCTTAACTTGGTTTTTCTAAAGGTGTATTCATTCAAGAGTTTTTCATTGAAAATCCTCAATTTTAAGGGTACTCTGCAGAATTATCTACCCAGTTTTTATTTAGAAAGTAAGATTTTTCTGGACATTACAGTTCCAAGGATGCTGATAGCAGGCCTTATTTTCAGTGTGTGAAATTATCTAATCTATGGGATGGAAGAAGTCAACAACAAAATTTAATTCAAGGAATGGTGGTCAGAGTAAGATTTTGTAGATTAAGATGTGATCCACTAGTAATCATTATACTCAACATATCAGTTTTTAATTAGTCTTTTTTTATTTTAGTAGATGAAAGAAGAGTTTCAAGAAGGTATGAAGATTGTCAAGGTGAGAGAGCTTTATATGTGAGTTGTAAGTCAAATAGCCAATTTTGTATACTGTTTGGCAGATGAAGAGTTATTAGTTTATATGTACAGACACATTTTTTGGACTTTTACTTGCCTAACCATATCTAATTAGTTACAGAGGAATTTGCCTATTTATTAGTTACATAAATAATTTGTATTATTCTGTGAATGCTGTTAATTTACATTTACCTTAAAATACAATACCAGGCAACTTACCACATGCTTTATAAAAGGCTGTTATGGAAAAAATATACAAAATATCAATTATTTTGACAGAAGTGTAAAAATTGTCCGTGATATCAACTATTTATTAATATCTTCTTTGGGGCAGAACTGTTTTCTATTTTTTTATTGCAGCCAGTAGATTTATGTAACTGGTACATAAAACCCATGTGTCAGCTTAATTTTTTTTATTTTAACACACTCTATATAGTGTTATACCATGGTTAATAGTTCATTTTCTTTTCTTAAGCAAAGAGACTTTTTCTTATGATAAAGTGTATAAAGTGTATGTCTATTCCATTTTTACCCTTAGGAGGTATTTTAATCTCTATATTGAAATATAGATTTCAGAGGAATTGATGAGTGGCAAAAATTACAGCATATAATCTAAAGAGTTTTGTTGGTCTACATTTTTAAACTAAATTGCATAACACAACAGATTTGTGACAACTGAGATTTTATTAAGTGCTTTATTCTGTATACACTGATCACAGACATTGCCTGCCACATCTATCTTAAAATGCATCTTAATACTTTTCACATTAAGTAAACTATTCTAAAGCATATATATGAGATGTTTATGTGTTACACATAGTCACCATGACTATATAGGTTCACTGACACATGTATTTCTTTTCTAAATCTCTTGAATTTCATCAGCCTTCATTGGTGATAAATTGATCTGATGCCAAGATTTTGTTTAGGGTCATAACAACTTTTTATAGTATGTTCACCTTGTCAGTTTATTCCTTTACGATGAATAAATTGGGATATTTTAAAATTAATTTCATGTAATATCTTATTTAAAGTGTTTGCACATGTGTGTGTATATATAAGAGTGTAAAAGAGGATAACATAGGTATACTTTGTGGAATGTAATACCACAATGTTAAATTCAGTACCATAAAGGCAACCTGATGCCATGTCATCTCTAGTAATTCATCTAACAAAATCCAAAAATGTATAACTATATGTAGTTTAATTGTGTATCAATTTTTCAGGAAATACTTTGGACTCAACATTAGAAAACAGAAGTAGTACAGCAGCACAGTACCTTCAAATTTGTGATAGCATTAATACAAATAAAGTACTTAAACAAAAAGCCAAGAAGAGGAGAAGAGGAGAAATGAGGCAGTGGCAAACAGGTAAAATACTAATACTTTGCTTTATTGATATTATAATAATTTGAAAAGTGGAGTTATTTTTTTTTGTAATTGGAGAAAATATCAGTTGTTTATAGTATAGCTCTATCCCACATACCTGTTTGTGTTTGATCTAAATAGTTGTGTTTCTTTAAATGTGTTTGACTCATACTTAATAAAACTATACTTGTTTGCTCTTTACCCTAATGGTGTTTTAAAAGGGAATTGTCAGGTTGGTTTTACAATAAAGGGTACCTGTTTCTAGTTTACAAAGTGCATGTGATACAGTATTTTGGCAGATGAATAATATATAGCAGAGTGCTGCTCATTAATTTGTGTGAGCTATTTTATCATAAATTTCTTTTAATGTGCATTTTATCTTAGAAAATTTTATTCCACTAGTATAGTTCTCACAGTGTGAATATTGGCACTTTTGTTGTAAAATCTTTTTAAACAGTCTGGCTAAATGTCACAACTTCCCTATTTTTTTTAATCTAGCTGTTATAATAGGCCCTGATGGACAACCCTTGACAGTATATCCTTGCCATATTTGCACAAAAAAGTTTAAATCAAGGGGATTCTTGAAAAGACACATGAAGAATCATCCTGATCATTTGATGAGAAAAAAATATCAGTGTACAGATTGTGACTTTACAACTAACAAGAAAGTGAGTTTCCATAACCACTTAGAAAGCCATAAGCTTATAAACAAAGTTGACAAAACCCATGAGTTTACAGAATATACACGAAGATACAGAGAGGCTAGTCCACTGAGTTCAAATAAACTTATACTAAGAGATAAGGAGCCGAAGATGCACAAGTGCAAATACTGTGACTATGAAACTGCAGAACAAGGACTATTAAACAGACATTTACTGGCTGTTCACAGCAAGAATTTTCCACATGTTTGTGTTGAGTGTGGGAAGGGCTTTCGACATCCTTCTGAACTCAAAAAACACATGAGAACCCATACTGGCGAGAAGCCATATCAGTGTCAGTATTGTGTTTTCAGGTGTGCAGATCAATCAAATCTGAAAACTCACATTAAGTCTAAGCATGGTAACAATTTGCCATATAAATGTGAGCATTGTCCCCAAGCATTTGGTGATGAAAGGGAGCTTCAACGCCATCTGGATTTATTTCAAGGACATAAGACACACCAGTGTCCTCATTGTGACCATAAGAGCACCAACTCAAGTGATCTAAAGCGGCACATCATATCTGTCCACACTAAGGATTTTCCTCACAAATGTGAGGTTTGTGATAAAGGTTTCCATCGTCCTTCTGAGCTCAAAAAGCATAGTGATATCCATAAGGGTAGGAAGATTCATCAGTGTAGGCACTGTGACTTTAAAACATCAGATCCATTTATTCTTAGTGGTCATATCCTTTCAGTTCATACTAAGGATCAGTCATTGAAGTGTAAAAGGTGCAAGAGAGGGTTCAGACAACAAAATGAGCTGAAAAAGCATATGAAGACCCACACTGGAAGGAAGATTTACCAATGTGAGTATTGTGAGTACAGTACAACAGATGCATCTGGCTTTAAACGACATGTGATATCAATACATACAAAAGACTATCCACACAGGTGTGAATTCTGCAAAAAGGGATTCCGAAGACCATCAGAAAAAAATCAGCATATTATGAGACACCACAAGGAGGCTCTTATGTAATAAGACCAATATAAAGAAAGAAACTCTGGAAAATATGATATGCTACATGGCAGTAAAACTTCATAAACCTTTTCATCTGGTTACAAAGTTGATATTAAATCATAACTTTGCATTCTTTGTATTAAAAATATTTGAATTGACAGGGTATCTCATAGCCCTTTGAAAATTACTTAAAGAATTTAAGAAGCACCATAGAATGGTTGTAGAAAAACCTATTAAGTGTCAATTTAATAGGATTATATGCATAAACTACAGAAGGGAAGAGTAAAGATAATGACTTTATTTGGCTGATCATACTAGAGACATGCTTCTGAAAAAAATCTTACATAATTTAGGAGTTTAGCAATGCTTTGCTATGACAAGCCTCACTTTTATGCAATTTTAGAAATGGGGTGGGAAATAAAATGCAGTGATCCATCAGGCATTTTGTCATTGAGCCTTTTATATGGTACCTGGAAATTGAATTCCAGAAATCTAAAAGTTTATGTATTCATTAAAATAACTTTCACTGAAAAACAGGTTAGATTAATTCAATACTGTTAAAAAGAATTTCAGAGCTGCTAAAATTTTATCACAGGACAGGATGTTTAAAATAAAGCATTCTGTGCTAAACTCTAAGGATTAAAGTTCCCTTTTTTATGCTGTTTGAGTTGGTTATTGTTCAGTATGGCATATATGACAAGCGTATATTTGAGTCAAATATGGCTTTCTAAAACGAATGCAACCAGTAGTGTTGCAAACAAAGTTAGCACTATATTTCTTAATGATCTAAAGATTAAATTGAGAGAACTCAGTTTTCTTAAATATTATAATGTTTAGGGTTTTTTTAGGACAATTAGCAAGTATGATGGTTCTAGCCTTACTTGCTCTAATGTTTAAAGGTGCAATTTTATGCCATTCTTGAAAATTTTGATTTTTAAAATCTATATATATACCATATAATTAACATGCATTTTCAATACAAGGCAGTGTTTATGCAGTATTTAACAAAACACTGTGCTGCCAATAGAATTCAGAAGTGGATATTCAGTTTACAGTGTATAAATTTAAAATATGCATCCCTTTAACAACGCTTTGTGTTAGCATGCTGGAAATCAAAATGGCGCTTAATATAAAAAGCTGGTTTAGGGAAATTTAATGAAATCCTGTTCATAAATGTATTGCATATGATGTGTACTTTTAAGTTTTAGTTGCTTCATGTTTACACTCAGCTGTTCAACATTATTAAAATGTAATTTTACTTCATACTATATTGTGGCTTTGTATTTCAACTAATGTTCACCTTTCTGTTTTTTTGCACCAGATAAGAATCAGTTTCTTGAGAATAAATTTTTTATCTTTCTTAACTTCAGAATATTAAATTTGGAAAATCTAAAATTGTGTGTTATGTGACTGTAAATGATGTACACGCTGTAAAATAAGATTGTCTCTGTTACGTGGGATTATTTCTAAATGTTACTCATTGAAATGAGCATACAATAAAAAGCATTTATTGCACTTCAAGGTTGTACAAATTTATTTAAAGTTTTGCTGTAAGGTTCATTCTTTATTAAGAGACTTTTCACTTAAAGTTGCTCTTAGGCAATTTGGTCTGCAGATTAACATGTAGAATTTTGTGCATTAGCAACAATACAAGTTAAGAATTTGAAAAATTGTAATGATTATGACCTGATTATTCCTCAAAAATATAAATTTTTGCTAAAACCATAGCAAAATGCTAAAACCATAGACAGAATGCTATAAAAGTGCCCATCTTAAGACTTGATATTTAATATTATAGAGAAAACTAAATATTTTTAACCTGCTTAAGTAACACAATCTTGAGAAATGAATCTAAAATTATGTTTCTAATAGAGCAAAATACATTTTAAAGGAAAACTATTAAGTACTTGGGAAAGACTTCTGCAAATGAGCATAAAAATAATCTATATTCAAACTAGTTATCATTCAGTAGAATTAATGTACCTAAAGAGCACTATTGCTTAAGACTGTCAATTTGGTTAATTGTCTTTTAATGATCACTAACAAAAAAGAATATGTTAGTCATTACATGTAAGACCAGTGCTTTTTTAAGCTTTAATATCTATATAGTTTATCTAGGGATCTTGTTAAAATACATATTCTGATTCAGTAGGTGTGGGATGGGGCCTTCAATTCTGCATTTCTAGTAAGCTCCATATGAGTAATAAGGTGTTAAGATAAAAGTCCCCAGGGTGATTCTGGTACACTTTGGCAACTTTGTTTAAACAGATAGCGATGGACATGGCGTTTGAGCTGAGACATGAGTGAAAAGAAGAGCCAGGTCATATGAATATCCTGTGGAATAGCATTCAAGGCAGAGAAATGTACAAATGCAAATAACCAGAGATGGACCAGCTTTGGCTGGATCATGGTAAGGGGGACTGATGAGAGATGAAACCTGTGAGAATTTGAAATGGGAAGCCATTGGAGAGTTTTAAGGAAGGGAATATGTAACATGATTTACATTTTGAAGATCACTGCAGGTTGTGTAAGGAATATATTGTAGAGGAGCCGAAGGAAGTAGAGATCCATATAAAGAGATTTTCCAATTATTTGTGGTTACAGTGAAGCTGGAGAAAAATAGATGGATTTTCTTTCTTTCACTTATAAATTGGGTCTAGAAAACCTCATTCAAGATGGAACAAATAAAAATTTAACTTATATTACAAACAAAATTGTCTTAAAAATACAAATACTACTGGCACAGACCTGTCTTATGACAAAACAGATTTCACCCTAACAATGCAGATCAAAGTACCATCATAAGAAAGAGAAATAACTTGGTAATTATTTTAAAAGCATTTTCCCAGAACAGTTCAGGACCATTTTGTGGAAATGGATTTTTCTGATTTTCACTTCTAAATGGCCTATACCATGATAGAGAGGAAAAGATTGCTACTGTCAATTGCTATTGTCGCTCAGGTACAGCTCTTAAATTCAACTCATGCATATATAGGACAACCACCAGTTTGAAACTTGAACCGCCCTTAAAAATATATATGATAGAGCCAAGCTAGGATGGCTGTCAGTTGGGTGTCATCTTGTGCACCAAAAGGTTGCTAGTTTGATGTTTGATTCCTGGCCAAGACATCCTGTGTGCCAAAAGGTTGCTAGTTCGATGGTTCGATTCCTGGCCAAGGCCAACTCGTTTCGGGTCCTATCCTGGTTCTCTCTCACTCCCTTCTTTTCCCTAAATATGTCCTTGGGTGAGGATTGGAAAAAATGTATGGTAGTGGGTGAGGATTGAGAAAAAATATATAGTATGAAAGATACATGTTATATAACTTTTTATCACAGAAAATTTTCAACCATATATAAAAATAGAAGAGCCCTAACCAGTTTGGCTCAGTGGATAGAGCGTTGGCCTGCAGACTCAAGTGTCCCAGGTTCAATTCCGGTAAAGGGCATGTACCTTGGTTGTGGGCACATACCCAGTAGGGAGTGTGCAGGAGGCAGCTGAATCAATGTTTCTCTCTCATCAATGTTTCTAACTCTCTATCCCTCTCCCTTCCTCTCTGTAAAAAATCAATAAAATATATTTTAAAAGAAAAATAAAAATAGAAGAATATAATGAACCCCTACAGTATGTAGCGACCACCCAGCTTCAGTCATCATTTTGTGGCCAACTTTGTTTCGTTTATATTCTTCCTTACTCCTCTCTGTACCCTCCTACCTAACTGATTTATTATGAAGCCCCCTAATCTCACTGGTTTAATTTGAAGTAAATCCCAGACATTTTTTGAAAGAATATATAGCAAAATTCTTAATCTTAAGTATGCCTACTTACAGAAAAAAATGACTCATCTCACATAAAGTCAGAGGAACAAAATAATCCTCTTGTTTAGATATTTTGTTCAGACATCTTGTTCAGATATGTTGGTGAGAATAAAAAAAAAAATGCTGTCCTAATTCTATCCAGTAAGGTTTTTTGGCTCTTAATAGGGATTCTTTTGGAGAATATGCAGAAAATCAGTGCTCTAGAATATCATTGGATTAGAGAATGTTTCTAACTTTGTTTGGCTCCATTCTGTTCTTCAAAATATAATTAGCTTGTAAATTTGATACTGGTTTAAGAAGGTCTCTTAGAACCTTGGATCCTAGATAAGAACTGGCTAGTGTTATTGGCAGTTTAGAGGCTCTGGAAAAGAAATTGTGACACTTGTAGGGTCAAGACTGTAGCACTAGATAATCCCAAATGAAAAATATTTCACCTGCTTTGTTCCAGTTGTGTAGCCTTTCTCTTTGAACATTACCCAAATAACTATTTCAAAGAGAGCTCTGCTTCATTTTAAATTTCGGACCAATTGGCAATATTTAAACTATCCCATTTTGCCCATATGTAAGTCCCAATCATTACCTATCTGATCCCAAAACCCTGTCATTCTCGGTCCCAATAACAACTACTCATAACATGGCTGGCTCATCAGACTCCTTTAGAGAACTACCTCATAAAGCCTATATATTTTCCTATTTTAAGAAATTGGTCTGACTTATTATATCTTGGTACAAATGAGCTAGGAGCATCCAACACTGATTGTGTTAGCAAACCAGATATTGAATCACAGCATTATATTGCAAAAGCTATTCCTTAACATAGAGGATCTCTGGAACATAAAATTTAGTAACAAAAAATTATTTTAATGTAATTGGTTGGGAAACCAAACCAAAGACCCTGGACTTAACATCTCATCCACAAGAGACCAATCCAAGAAGGTTACCAAGACTGCCTGGCTATCATATAATTATTTCATTTAGCAATGCTAGTGTTCCTTTGTAGACTCAAAAGATGAATGTCTTATTTTGACACTAAATATTAACAATTTTATTAAAACGGAATTATTTATTTATTATTTAATTTAAAACTTATATTTACTATTTTATCCAAGTATCAGCATGAAATAATTTATATTTTTTATTAAACAAAGTACTATAAAAATCCAATAAATTTAGTAATGGTGTGTGATGGTGGAAAGATAACCTTGTAGAGAAGTTTTCTTACTTTCAAAAGAATTATGTCTACACATCTTTGTAGATTATAATAATGAGAAAGAAGTGAGAATGGCTTTTTGTTTAGGTAATCCAAATTGGGGGGTAAGATGAAAATTTTTAAACTTCATTTTGATCCTTTTGTACTGTTTGTGTTAAGAAAATGTATTACAGTTAAAATACTATTATAGGGATGGGAAGAATGCTTTATGGAATCATATTTGCAATAAATGAGTTATGGAAATTAGAAGACTAGGTTTATAAGACTAGGCTTTTAAATAAGAAACCTGCAAAAACCAGAGGTCCAGCTATGTTGAATTGTTGTCACTAATAGTTCACATCAGGCCTTTTTGTTTTTTTCAGTTAAGGGGGTATTTTTAGTTCTAACATTCACATGATAGCAACTTCCTGACAAAAATGTATAGCTAAGCTAAAAACCTATCCTGCATGTTTCTTACGAGGACTTCCACAAAAAACATACAGATACTTCACATATTTTATTTAGACACTTAAATAACTTGTCTTGCATTTCTTGCAGTCTCCATTTTATTTGACATCTAAAGTGAAACATACTCAAATAGAAATTAGATAATAGGCATTTCTCACCTGACAACATTTTTGTTGTTGTTGCAATTTTCAGAGAGAAGCTGTGCGAAAGTTGTGAGGGAAAAGAAATCACTACTATTTTTATTGATCTTAATCAGAAATTGGAAAAGAAATACATTTAAATTTATTAAGTGCAATAAGTACCTTGTCATGACAACTCCATTCAATCACTATGCTTAGATCAAGTAAGCCAATGACATGCTGACAGTTCCAATTTTCAAAAAGTTATGGTGGTAGTTTTCTATTAGGCTACTAAAAACCACCATTTATATCATATGTAATGGCTAGAAAATATGGCATAATTTTTTTACAGGTACATATATGAGTAGTTAGCAGAAGGGAAACTGCCCTGTTATTCCCACACCAAGGGAAAAAATGTAAGGACTATATAGCTCATGAAAAATATTAACACTTTCTATCACAAAATATTGATAAAATTGGAATTGTATCAATCCATATTATAGAGCTTGACCTTTTAGTCAAAGTATTAAGATAACAAAATAAGGCTTTAGCTTTGTATCAAAACCTATTTGAAAGTTATGAGTGTTAAAAGCATTTTTCTTATTATGGTTTGATTTAGTGTAGTGCCTCATCTGTTCCTATCTTAACATAGTATAATGAATAATTATTAAAGTATAATTATAAAACATGATAGGTTCTATACAGATATTTGCAGAGATATTTCAGTGCAAAACCTTATTTAAATGTAACCCATATATATTTGTTGCCTTAATTTATATTTTGTCAAATGCAAACATTTTAATTTTTGCTAATTCATAACTTTAAGCAGAGGGCTTGAAATTAAGAAATTTCATTCCTATCTACTAATATACTTAGAAAATACTTTCATTCACTTTGTAAGGTCATTAGAACCTAATTAATCAACCAACTTCTAAGTTCAGTAAATACTCTACTATAAAAGCTCTTTCTCCCAAGTTAGATGCAAATATCAATAATTTGTTGTTTCTTTTTTACTTCTTAAGCCTTTATGCAATATTTCAATGTCACATTATATATTCTACTATAAAAATGTCTACTTTCTTTCTACCCACTACTACAATATATTGTTATATGTTTTCAAGGAAGTGGGTGAGCTCATTTGGGGGATGATATGCTTTGAAAGAACAGATTTGCCAAGCCATTGATATGTACTTAGAACCATAATATTACAATGTGCAAATTAGTGGATTTATTTATTTAAAAAATATCCCACTTCCCTACTTAATGAAGCTAACCATCACCCTTGGTTTAGTTATGTCTCTAAGAGGTATAAATAGCATGTAATGAAGCAGCTCTTTTAGTCATAGGTTCAATGTGAGAAAAACAAATATATACTGTATAGACCAGTGATGGCGAACCTTTTGAGCTCGGCGTGTCAGCATTTTGAAAAACCCTAACTTAACTCTGGTGCCGTGTCACATATAGAAATTTTTTGACATTTGCAACCATAGTAAAACACAGACTTATATTTTTGATATTTATTTTATATATTTAAATGCCATTTAACAAAGAAAAATCAACCAAAAAAATGAGTTCGCGTGTCACCTCTGACACACGTGTCATAGGTTCGCCATCACTGGTATAGACCATGCACTAAACTTTTAAAAAAAAAATCGAATAGTTTTTTTGCCTATTTTTTTGGTAATAAACAGTATCAATCCTTGTAGCTGAATTGCATATCTAATATAAGAGAAGATCTTCTAGTAGAATAACTTGTAAAATCTCTGCCCCAACAAATTAATTCAGTATCTAGGAAGCATTCTATTGAAAAGTAGTGAATTATGTCCTATATTGACTACTATGGAAGTTTAAATAAGTGATATATTGCTATATTAATACAAGAATGTAGATTCAGGCCTCATAAATGGTTGGAGAAACTCATCTTCAGGACTAATTCATTCCATTTGATTCACTGGGTAGTGCCATGGTTCAAAATTTTGATTGGCCTTTTGTTATGGAAAAATTAAAGTACTGATGCAGACCCCCGAAAAACTTCTTCTGAATTTGAGAGTCATTCATGGCTAGAAAGGAAAAAAAAAAGTTAGTTTACAACTGGCTGATAATTGATTTTAGACATTGTCATGGTATGAACACAGTTTTGAAAAGTGATTTAAATTGATAGATATAAAACCAAATGAAATGCACTATGATTTTGTGGTGCTCTTTTATATGTATACTAGAGGCCCGGTACACAAATTTTATATGGGGGGGTGAGGGGTCCCTCAGCCTGGCCTGGACCCTTTCCAATCCGGGACCCCTTGGGGTATGTCCAACTGCCAGTTTAGACCCAATCCCACAGTCCGACATCCCTCTCCCAATCCGGGACCGCTGGCTCCTAATCGCTCACCTGTCTGCCTGCCTGATTGCCCCTAACCACTCTGCCTGCCTGCCTTATTGCCCCCAACTGCTCTCCCCTGCCGGCCTGATCACCCCTAACTGCCGCTGCCTTGGCCCCCGCCACTGTGGTTTTGTCTGGAAGGACGACAGGAAGATGTCCGGTTGACCCGGTCTAATTAGCATATTACCCTTTTATTAGTATAGATTTAATGATACAGTGGTTTGTCTAACTTTAGTCTAGGTATATATTTCAAATTATTTTAAGCATTAGGGAGGGAGGATTCAGTAGAGTTCTTCCTTGCTGTCATATTTAGAGGTTAAATATATCCAAATGTCTCTAACTGTTAATAAATATAGATTTTGAATTAACTCTCAGTATCTAGTCCTTTAAGATATCAGGTTTGGTATTTATTGCTACACATTTTTAATGGGGACAGTAGTAATGAATACTATTTGACAGATCTTCACATTGATGTAACCCCTGGGGTACATATAGTTAGTAGCAGCAATTGCTTTTCAGTCTTAAATTTCAACATCAAATAACCTCTCAGTGACAAATTTTAAATCCTATACTGACTTTCCCTTGCTGCTCATGTGGTTCTTGGGCTATCAGGTACCCTTTATTAGTTAACAAGTAGTAATTAGTAACTCTCAACTAATTAATAACCTAAGAAACACCTATGTCAAAGCTCAAATTATTTTTATTTTTGGGTTACTAAATGTTGATTGCTTTTATAGATGATAGACAACCACTTACACAAGATTAATGGCTTAATTGTAGTTAGAAAAGGGCTTCAAAGCTAAACAATTTTGAATTTTTTTTAAATAAATAGTTGAGTTTGTTCAACCAAAAGGTAATTTTTAAAAGGAGTTATTTAATAGATGCGTAATTTTATTAACTCTACACCTGCAGTTATTTATTAACTATACAAATATAGTATTTTATTAACTATAAATCTGTGATTTTAAATTTTCTTCAAAAGTTCTGCAATTGATTGACATTTATATATTTATCTATTGTATTTTGTGGCTTATTTAAACATTTTAAGCCTTTTATTGAAGTATCATAAACATGTAGAAAAAAGTGCACATATAAGTGTACAACTAAGTGAATTTTCCCAAACTGAGCACATGCAGCCATCACACAGATCAAAAAACAGCATGCTATTAATACCCTAGTAGTCTTCCTTATGCTCACTTCCACTAAGTACCCATCCTCAAGGATAACCACTGCCTGAGTTTAATAACCATAGGTTAGTGTTATCTGCTTTTAGTACCTAAGCAATTTTTAACAAAGCAAAGGCTGTCATTTTCACAGTGTTAAAGTCAGATACTGTATAGTTTCCAAGCTAGGAATCTCAGCTTTTTTCTGTTCATTGTATTTGAGGAATATCATACATTCCCATTACTATCAATGGATTATTGTTACAACCACTTGGCAGTACTATAGAAGTATGTAATTAGAGAGAAAAAGAACCTCAAGGTCATTCTGTTGTGTTAGTAGGGTGTTTCAAACTCGGCACTATTAACACTTTGGGCTAGATAATTCTTTGTGGTGGGGGACTTTCCTGTACATTGTAGCACCCCTGGTCTTTACCCACCAGATACCAATAGTACTCAATCCCCAGTTGTGAAAGCAAAAAACGTCTCCAGCCCTGGCCAGTGTTGCTAAGTGGTTAGAATGTTGGTCCATGTACTAAGCGTTCGATTCCCGGTCAAGAGCATGTACCTAGGTTACGGGTTTGCTCCTGCCCCTGGTCTGGGCTCTCACACACCTCTCTCTCTCTCTCTCTCTCTCTCTCTCTCTCTCTCTCTCTCTCTCTCTCCCCCCTCATTTAAAAATTATTTAAAATTTTTATTCTCTCCCTCCCTTCTTCCCTTCCTCCCTTCCTCCCTTCCACTCTCTCTGAAAAGCAATGGAAAAAATATCCTCTGATGAGGATTAACAACAATAACAAAAATGTCTCCAAACAGTGCTAAATGTCCCCTAAAGGGAAAAATTGCTGCTGGTAGAGAACCACTATGCTAGAAAAAATACACCCTTTGTTTGATGTTCATTATTTTAAAGGTTAATAGGTTAATAAGTAGAAAAGTTTTAGGAGAGTAGCTTTCAGTCCTACAGAAAAAGAGGGTTTTAGTAATTGTCCTCCTTACTAATGTATTGGACTACTGTATATAGAAAGAGGCTAAGGTCTGTATCATCTTGTCATCCTGGAGAATATCGTAGAAGGTAGATATTAGAATACATGACATTTAAAGTACTCTTCATCAATTTAACTATAACTATGGGATTTAAAGGTGGATAATCTTATAATCTAGTTAGAAAGACAGGCAGACCTTTTCTCTTTCAAATCTTAAAAATTTAGAATCTACAGGACATATATGATTGCAAGTATTATTAAAACATGCTGCTCCATCTTCCATTCCCCTTCATAATCATCTATAATATTTCCTACCTGCTTCAGAAACAATAAGGTTTTTGGAAAATTTTAATAGAATCATTTCAATAACTCCTAAGGTGTGCAAGGAAATAAAACCCAAAGTTAATTGTGTTCCTATTTGGGGTAAAATCATATCTAATTTATTACAGTTTAGATAATTAATTACAATGCTCCATGTATGAATCATTTCAAAGTTTATTATCTCTTACTATATATCAGTAAGGGAAATGTGGAAAAGTCTTAAGAGGAAAAAAAATTCTGTAACATTTTAGTTTATTCTGATATTTTACCAGAATTTTTAAAGGCTGTTATATATAAAGAATATACATGCATTTTAGTACTAATAGGACTAGATACACTAAAGTGAACTTACACAGGTCCATTTGTCTTCTGTTTTCTCAATCACAATTGTCTGTGTGTCACTACCTGGTGGTATATATTCATAGTCATCATACAGGAGTCCTAGGATTGGATATTGTGTCCTGTACCTACACAGAAAAAAAAGTTAGTTTACAAGATGCACATGAAAATAACTTTCATTCCTACATAGTCACTCCTAATTTGATTCCCCTTATTAAAATAATTTTTCTCTGCAAGACTTTTAACGTTTTCTTTTTTAAAATCCCCTGTTAATGTACAAAAACTTACTACTATTATTTTTAAAAAGAGTAAGGGGAGGTACTTCTATTTCTGGAAATAATGGACCACAAGCAGATGAGAGAGTGATAAAAATGAAGGGAAGCAAATGACATAAGCCTTAAAATTGCCTGGAGATTTCCTTGATCACAGCATAGGAAAAGGGAAGCCAAACAGATTCTAGCAGTTTCACCAAGTTGAGGTAACAAAATTTCAAGTAAAACATGCCAAAGCAGTCAGAATTTGTGGAGCAGAATAATAGACAGGAGAGAGATACATAGATGGAGAGAGGTCAGGAGACCTGTAGAGTGTTGACCACAAATCTTTTCGTGAGTACGGATCATTGTAGGCATGTGAAGACTTGGGAAAGAGCCACTGGAAAGGAGTAGTATGGAAATTCCTAGAGCTCACATAGTAATGGGAATAGTTTGTTCCACTAACCAGAATGGAAAAAACTAGTATGGGGAAAAACAAGCAGAGACTACAGGAGATTATTGCCTTAGTAGTGGGATGTCATTAGTCCTAGACTATATAGTTTGTTCTAATAGAGTTTAAAGGCAAGACTTGAAAGTATTAAACTACTTCCAAGTAACTTAACTTTATCTCAGAATAAAACCACAAAATGCTTAGTGATATAAAAATATTCAGAAATCCAGTATGAAAAATCACAATATATGGCATTCAATGAAAAATTAGTAAGCATGCAATGAAGCAGGGATATATGACTAATAATGAACAGAAAAATAAATTAGTAGAAACAGACCAAGAAATTGTAGATAAAAGAAACAAGTTGGCAAGGGAATATAAAATTTATACAAAAAAAAACCACAAAAAAAAAAAACCAGAGGGAGGCATGAACAATATGAGGAGAACAATGAAAGATATAAAGATTTACATTGAACTTATTTACATGAAAGTTACACTGTATGGGATTAACACCATTTTAGGCACTGCAGAAGAAAATACTGTTAATTTGAAGACATCAAGAAAAATTATCCAAAATAAAACATGAGAGTAAAAACACTGAAGAATATAGAATATGAGTTAGCTATGGAAAATATCAGGTTCGCTCAATGTGTGCAATTGAAGACCCACAGGATTGGCAGTAGACAAAAGTAATTGAAGAAATAATGAACAAGTTGTTTCCAAAGTTTTTGAATACTACAAACACACAGATCCAAGAAGCTCAATGGACATCAAGGAAAAGACTGATGAAGAAAAAAACAGAGAAGCGCATTATTATCAAATTGTTGAAAACCAGTGATTGAGTTTCTTGCAGCCAGAGAAAAAAAGAACATTAAGAGGAAAACAATCATAAGATAAACAGCTAACTTCTTATCAAACAGTGAAAGTGAGAAGACAGTGGAATGACATCTTTAAAGTATTGATGGAAAAAATAATTATTGACTTACTATTCTATACATAGTAAAAATAACTGAAAAATGAAGACAAAATAAAGATGGTTTTCAGATATAAAAAAAAAACACACAAGAGAAGTCTTCACCAGCATGACAAGAAATGTTTAAGGAAGTCCTTCAGGCAGAAGGAAGATGATATCAGATAGAAATTTGGAGCTAAGCAAAAGAATGAATAGTAACAGGAAAAAAAAATGTGGGTAAATTTAAAACAAGATTGGATATTTTTCTTATTAATATTTCTTTAGAAATAATTGGCAATTGAAAGGAAAATTGTATTGGGAATTTATAATATAGGTAAAGGTAAATATATGTGTCAAAAATACCAAAAAGGCCCTAGCCAGTTTGGCTCAGTGGATGGAGTGTAGGCCTGTGGTTTGAGGGGTCCCAGATTCGATTCAGGTCAAGGGCACGTACCTCAGTTGCAGGCTCCTGCCCACCCTGGCCCTGGTCAGGGCTCGTGCAGGAGGCAACCAATCAATGTGTTTCTCTCATATCAATATTTCTCTCTGTCTTTCCCTCTCTCTAAAAATCAATAGAAAAATATCCTCAGGTGAGGATTAAAAAAAAAAACACCAACAAGATCATGAAGGGAAATGGAAGTATACTATTATAAAGTTTGTATGCTACATGTGATGAGGCATAATAATTTTATTTGAAGGTAGACTGTGATGAGATAAAAAATACTTTAATCCTTTACAATTATAAAATAGAAGTATACCTAATAGGCTAATAAAATAGATAAAATGCAATAATAAAAAAGATTAATTAATCTAAAAGGAAAAAAGAACAGAGGAAAAGTGGAATAAAGGCAATATGGGACAAATAGAAAACAAATTGCCCGATGGTAAATTTAAACTCAAACATAATAATCACATTAAGTATAAATGGTCTAAACACTCCAATCAAAAGGCAAATATTGCTACTTAGGATAAAAACACAAGATCCAACTATGTGTGTGTGTGTGTGTGTGTGTGTGTGTGTGTGTGTGTGTGTGTGTGTATAGTCTAAGTGACCGAATAGGACTGGTCGCTATGATGCACACTGACCGGGGGGCAGATGCTCAATGCAGGAGCTGCCCCCTGGTGGTCAGTGTGCTCCCACAGCGGGAGTGCCGCTCAGCTGACCTACAGGCGCCAGACACAAGGCTCAAAGCTGACTGGCTGGCTGGCGAGCGCTGCTATGGTGGCGCTAGCCTCTTCTGATCAGGACTGACTGGACCAGGATGAGCGGGACTGGCAGGCAGTGTTGGACTGCCGGGTTTGGACTGATCCCCACAGACTATGCTGAGGGACCTCACTGGTACATGAATCCATGCACTCACTGGGCCTCTAGTTATTTATTTTTAAAAAACTTTAAATATAAACAAATTAATAGAATAAACTAAAAAGAATAGAAACATTTATCATGCAATCTGTAATCAAAAGGAAGCTAGAGTAGTTATAATATCAGATGAAGTAGCCCTCAAACCAGGAAGCATAGACGTTCACTTAATAATGATACAGGTGTCAATTCATCCACAAGATACTACAATCCTTAATTTTTATTCAGTAAGACATAACAATCCTAAATGTTGATGCACCACCTACTAGAAAGTCAAAATACATGCAAAAAAAACTGATGGAAATTAATGGAGAAATATTCACATTATGAATCGGACATTTTGTCATGCCTTCTAAGATAATTGATATTAGAAGGAAATGGAAAGTCAGTTAAGATATAATGAACAACATAAACTGATGAACAAAAATAGACCCAGAGACAGAGAAGCATCAAATAGACTGTCAAACCTCAGAGGGAAGGCGGGGGGCGGTGGGGGAGGGGCGGGTGTGGTAAGAGATCAACCAAAGGATTTGTGTGCATACATATAAGCATAACCAATGGACACAGACCCTAGGGGGAATAAGGGAGTGTTCTGGGAGGTGGGTGTGGCTGAGGAGAGGTCAATGGGGGCAAAAGGAGACATATGTAATACTTTAAACAATAAAGAATATTAAAAAGATATAGAAGCTATGAACAATAGAATTGAGCTAAGTAAAATTTATAAAATGCTCCATTTATCGTCAATAGGTTATACATTCTTTTCAAGAACATGGAACATTTACCAAGAGTCTATTCTGTGCCACAAAACAAGTTTCAATAAATTTAAAATGATTATAATGAATACAAGATATGTTCTCTGTCCATAATGAAAATAAATTAGGAATCAATAACATAAATATATCTAGAAAAGTCCCATAGATTTGGATACTAAAGAATACAGTTCTGAATAACCCAAAAACAAATCAAAAGGGAAATTTAAAAATATTTTGAACTGAATGCAAATGAAACTACAACTTAAAATTGGGGGATACAGCTAAAGCACTGGTTAAGTAGAAACTTGTAGCATTAAAAGCTTATATTAGCAATGGTCTAAAACCAATGTCCTATGTTTCCAGGTTAGAAACTAGAAAAGAGAAGATTAAGTGGAAAATATACATAAAAAAGAAAATAAAGATAAAATATCAATGAAATTTAAAATGGTAAAGCAGTAGAGGAAAACCAATTAAAACCTGGTTCTTTAAGAACATCAATAAAATTGATATAGCTCCAACAAAACCAATTATCAAAGAAAGAAATACCCAATTTTCAAAAATAAGAAACAGAAGTTATCACCTCACATTTGTTATAATGGCTATTATCTAAAAGACAAGAAATAGCAAGTGTTGGTAAGGACGTGGAGAAAAGGGAACTCTTGTGCACTATTTGTGGGAATGTAAACTGGTATAGCCAATGTGAAAAACAGTATGGCAGTGCCTCGAAAAATTAAAAATAGATCTACCATATGACACAGCAATTAATATATACACACACAAACGCACAGTGAAGTATTATACAGCCATAAATATGAAGGAAATCTTACTATTTATGACAGAATGGATGGATCTTGAGGACATTATGCATGGTGAAATAGGTCAGAGAAAGACAAATACCATATGATCTCACTTATACATGGAATTTAAAAAACACACAAATAAATGAACTCACAGAAACAGAGAACAGATTGGTGGTAGCCAAAGGAGGGGGTGGAGGGGTGGACTCTGAAATGGGTGAAGGTGGTATAAACTTCCAGTTATAAAATAAGTAAGTCCTGGGGATATGATGTACAGCATGGCGACTATAGTTAATAGAAGTATTGTATATTTGAAAGTTGCTAAAAAAGTAGATCTTAAAATTTCTTATCTTGCCCAGCTGTGTGGCTCAATGGTTGCAAGTCAACCCAGGAACCAGAGGTCAGTGGTTTGATTCCTGGTCAAGGCACATGTCCAGGTTGCAGGCTTGATCCCCAGTAGGGGCATGCAGGAGGCAGCAGATTGTTGATGTTTCTCTCTCATTGATGTTTCTATCTCTCTATCCCTCTCCCTTCCTCTCTCTCTAAAAATCAATAAAAACATATTTTAAAAATGTCTTATCTCAAGAAAAGAATTTATAACTGTGTGGTGAAAGATGCTAACTAGACTTAGATTTATACATTTTGTAGTATACTGTATATGTCCACACAAATCTGTAATGGCCCCCAATTTTAAACAGCCCTAATGTCTATAAATTGATAAGTGGATAAATAAAATGTTGTATATTCATTAGATGGGATATTATTTAGTAACAAAAAAGCAATGAAGTACTGACACATGCTAAAATATGGTTGAATCTAGAAACATTATGCAAAGTGAAAGAATCCAGTCACAAAATACCACATTTTGTATCATTCCATTTATATGAAATATCCAAAATAGACTTTTGCTGAAACTATCCTATATAACAAAAGGCTAATATGCAAATAGACTGAACGGTGGAACAACTGGAACAACCGAACAACTGAACAACTGGTCACTATGACACGTGCTGACCACCAGGGGGCGTGTACAGAACATGGCGGGCGTCGGCCATGGAGGGATGGTGGAGCAAATGAGCAAGGGTACCAGACCAAGGCAGGGAGCCGGTTGCTGTCATCGGGGCATCTGGTTGTTACTGAAAATTCTTTGCTCCCCGCATGCTGCGGCCCTTCCTGGTGCTCGCACCTGCTGCCGGCACTGGCTCCACTCACACCCACTGTTGGCACTGGAGCCACCGCTTGCACCCATTGCTGGCACTCACCACCGGCCCCGATCGCTCAGCGCTGTCAGTGGGTGCGAGCGGCAGCTGCTGGCCCTGATAGCCCCTGAGGGCTTCTCCACCTCCCCCTCCACCTGAGGGGTGATTGGGGTAGCAGCAGCCACACGCACTCACTGACGGCACTGGCCCCGCTTGCACCCACTGCTGGCACTAGCCCCAATCTCTCCACGCCATCAGCAGGTGTGAGCGGGGCCGGCACCGTCAGTGTGTGGGAAAGGTGATGGTGGGAGCGGGGCTGCAGGCAGACAGGGGACGGGGGGGGGGGGGGGTAAGGCCACAATGGGAGGGGCCAGGTGGGGGCGCAGAGGATGGGCCGAGACCTGCCCCTGTGCCCACTGCAGCCTCTTGCCCCAGTTTCTTGCAAGGTGCACGAATTCGTGCAGTAGGCCCCTAGTTTATATATATAAAACCCCAATATGCAAATAGACTGAATGGCCGAACAACTGAATAACTGGTCGCTATGATGCGTGCTGACCACCAGGGGGCGTATGTGAAACATGGCGGGCTTCAGCAGCAAGCGGCAGAGTGCGGAACATGGTGAGCGTAGGCTGCAGCGGGATGGTGGAGCAGGTGAGCTGGGGCTTCAGACCAAGACAGGGTGCTGGTCACTGTCATCGGGGCAAGCCTCTGGTGGTTACTGAAAATTCTTTGCTCCCATGCGCCATGGTCCTGCCTGGCACTTGCACCTGCTGCCAGTGCCCCACACTGGCCCCGACCACTTGGCACTGGCAGCAGGTGCGAGTGGTGGCTGCTGGCCCCGATCACCCCTAAGGGCTTCTCCACCTCCCCCTGCTCCTGAGGGGCAATCGGGACAGCAGCCGCTGCTCGCACCTGCTGCTGGCGCTGGCCCCAATCACTCTGTGCCATCAGCAGGTGCGAACGGGGCCAGCACCATCAGCACATGGGAGTGGCAGTCGTGGGAGCGGGGCTGCCAGCAGAGAGGGAACCAGGGGTGGTGGTAGGAGAGGCCAAGACCCACCCCTGTGCCCGCTGCAGCCTTGTGGCCCACAGTTCCTTTCAAGGTGCATGATTTCATGCATTGGGCCCCTAGTTTATTCATAAAGGATCAGTTTCTATTTTGTTATGCTAAATTGTTGGGATGTATGCTATGGTCATATTGCTGAGGAAGACACTGCCTAAGAATCACATCTACACAGGAAAGAGCATAGCCAAGAGACAGAGAAAGCTTTCGAAAATGTATTTTCAACACAAGAATCCATGTAAACACCAAGCAATACCAATTAAATGAATTAGCTAACTCCCAGTTTAAGTTGGGTTTCTGGCATGTGCAACTGAAAGAGTCCTGACTCATATAGTTTGTTAAACAATCAGTTATTTTCTTTTCACTTCCATTGTACTTAATATATTGTAAATACAGGAAAGGTGTTCTACAGAATTTTATTGACCATAATAGTGATGTCTTTTTGTGAATATTTACTCTTTAGTAGAATTACTGTCCTGCAGAAGACATCAAACTCTGTCTAGGGATACAGAGATAGATAGATTAGATAAGAGATAGATAGATAGATAGATAGATAGATAGATAGATAGATAGATAATATATAGATAGGGATATGCATATATAATTTATATATAAATTATAATGCTATAACTTGGATTATAAATAACCAAAGTCATATTAAAATACATTACTTTTTAGTAGTAATTGTAGTCCTTCCACCACTGGAGAGTTGGTTATGAGATGAATATATTTCTTGTCTCAACTTTGAGAGTTCCTTACAAATAAAAGGTAGTATAATCATTTGAAAACAGTAGAAACATGAGGTAAGAAGTATGTTCAATCATTTAATAAGGTTACTAAGAATAATTACTTGTTTTGCTTCCTTGTTAACCTTTAGGTCAAATGTTTTAATTCCATTTGTTGAATACTACAGATTCTTGCTTCATGGTACCCAAAAAGGTACATTATATATCTATGTAGCAATCCACTAACTGGTAGAGGATTTCTATATTTGAGGGATAACATGAGATTGAATGGACATAGTTCTCAAGATGATGTGAAAGTTTTTTCCTAAAATGCTTGACTAGTAGAGCCATAAGAGAAAGCACTGAAACTTCAATATGGAAGCAGGCATTGTTTTCTAACGATAGTGAATCACTGAACATTACTACAAGTACCATTTGTTCAATAACAGCAATACAACATTACCCACCATTTTTGGTAGTTCCTTCCTTTGATACTGATTTTATAACAGATCCTGGCTATATGCTACAGATACAGAGAAAAATATAATACAGTCCCTTGTTGAAGCAACTAATAATCTAGTAAGGAGCTCACAGTCTTATGGAAGTTTTATTGCTAATGAGATAATAAAATCAAAGTCTTAAAAATATTAAAACGTACAGTGCCACTTATTTGTGCTTCAATTCTAGCTTTTATTTGAATTATTTCTCCTGAAGTATGAATTTTCTACCTCTTTGCACTCACATTCTACTTCATGAATAAAGTGAGTCTTAGAAATGTGTTCTCCTCTAATGCATGGGAAATATTTATCCTACAGGACTGAGTTGCATTGTTCCTCTGTACCCTATCCCTTCCTTTCTTACCTCTGACTGACGCTTTATAAGGGAATCCTTCTCTTCCAGCAAGCTTGTCAGTTCATGAATCTTGAATTGGAAATCACTGCAACTTCCTTCTCTTTTTGAAACATCTTTTTGATACTGATTTAATTGAGTCTAATAATTTAAAAAGAAATAAGAATGATTATAATTCTCATTTGCAAAATAGGTAACTGAATTCTAGAGAGGTTAAGTGACATAAAGCCAGATAGCTAGCTATGATATGAAAAACTTTATGAATATAAAATATGAATTAAAATGCAAATTAGAAATTTCTCATCTTTATAAAAGTGCCTTTGTTATTTAGGGCTAGGCATTATGTAGGTAGCATTATTGGGCTGCAATTATTAAAATAAAGCTTTAGATTCCTTCAAATTATAATTAAGGAAAACTCAATAATAATAATGAATATTATATCATGATCTGCAATTCACAAAATATTCCTCCTGCATGACTTATCTCAATTCTCACAGCAGCCCTGTGAAATAAGTATTGTTATAATACTTATTTACAAAACAGAGAGATGAGATCCAGAGAGGTTAAATGACACAGTTATACAGCTAATAAGAAACATAGCTGCAACTAACTCTAATACAGATCTTCTGACTCCAAATCCTGCCCATTTTCCTCTTTAGTATATAATGTCTGCATAGATGGTTATTAGGTTGAAGTGTTATTAGTAATGCGGAGATGAAAAAGAAACTAGTGGAAGAAATTTGCTAGAAAAATCACTAGACTTTTGAACAAATTATATTTTGTTTCATTTTTTATTTTTGGTCAGGATTGTACAGTGATATTTGGAGGGAAAGACCTGTGGTCAGTTTTTCTATTAAAATATTTAAGTATATTTAGCTACATTTAGGAATCACTAAATTAAGAGTTAGTCAATTTGACCTAAAATTACAAGATAAGGTAATGTATACTTATTCTCACAAATATAATACTTTTATGCCAATTACACATACACAATTCAACACTGCTTTTATGCTTGTGCTTAACAAGGGTCTTGCTATGTATCATTCCTCAAAGTGAAGTGAGGATTTTTATGAATCCAACTGTGGCTTTGCTAGTTAATCTCAAATGTTGCTCTTGCCTGCATAAGCATGCTGTAGGCAAGCTCACAAAGTGTCCTGTCTTCCTGCTATCGAATAAAAAATAGATAAAAATTAAAAACAAAAAGCTTAAACTTACTATATTTTTATTTCCTAGAGGAGATTAAGCTAAATTAGAGAACAATTTAGCAATGTTCTATACACAGTGATATGTATTTAAACAAAAGATTCTATGGCATATTATTAAAACTCTACCTTCACTTGATTTTTCCTTGTAGCTTTCAATGTGAAACCATCATTATTTTATTAGAAATGTTGTGCTGACCTGTGTATTTATGTAGTGTGGCATCAACTTACCCTTAGCTTACAGATCTCTCTATCTTTCTCCATTCTTAAGTTTTTTAGCATCTCCTTGTAATGGTTGCCAATCTCATCCATTTTAGCCTGTAGCATAGGGCCTGTGCATGTCTCAGAAACCTACCCAAGACAAGATAACTTTCTGTAATTGGATTGTTATGAAGGAAATATATATTATATTACAAGGTTTATTACATTAAAATCACATGATTAAGTAAAAAACTGAAATAATGAGAGCATTTTTTAGGAATTGCATTATACAGCCCAAATCGCAGTGAGATAAGACCTAATTGCACACAAGAACATCAGAAAGCAGTCCATGTATTTTATCAAAATTAATAGGATTATATCTATATATGTATACATATATACACATATATACATATATACATATATAATATACACAATATAATTACAAATATATATAATATATATGTTTGCCAATGCTAACATCACAATAGTATAACTAAGGTAATAACATATATTTAGAACAAAGTTTTAATACCTGAATTCTAAGATTTTTATTCTCTTGTTCTAAATTATGTTTACAGTATTCCAGCTCTTTTAATCTATATTCTATGTCTGATAGTGTATGTCGAAGAGAGAGATTGCTTTCTTCCAATGCTTGGCATTTTGAAGTTGAGTCTTGAAGTCCTTGCTGTAAAGAAGATACAAGTAAATAAGACAAATGGTTTCTACTTTGGGGGAAAGAGTGCTCTTTTAGTTGACTAATTCTATTAAATAAAGCAAATATTTTTCCATGCCTCGTTTTCTTAAATATTGGTCCTTAAATTGTCAGTTAAATCAGCCATGTAAAATACTAGATTCTTGCCCTTATTCTGGCTTACCTGTCTTGAGTGAGAAGGAATCAAGACTAGATGAAGTTTCGTTGTACCAATTTAGCAATCTCACACTTGCTACTCTTTGACAGTGCTATACCCTGCCTACTAGAAGACACCAAAAATAACCATATGCCTAATTATTTATGTGACAAATGGAAGGTGTATGAAAATTTGGGACTGTCATGGGGGTAAAGATTAGGAAGGGATTAGCCTTAGAGACTCATTACAATTTCCTAGGAATCAACTCTGCTCAGACATCTGGAAAACACTTCTAGAGTTGACTCTTTCATTTATTCATTGAACAAACATGTGTTAAGATCTACAAAAACAAAAACCCAATGATTTTATGACACATTGTAGATTAAATCCATGAGTGAACTTGGGTTTTCAATATTTATGCAGTTCTTGTCACCCACCAGCATAGGTAAATGTGGACTGTATAAACTTTATATCTAAAATACATATGGTTATCTTTTTATGAGAGTCTTTTTAGTCATTAGAAATAGCCAAATCTATTCAATTCTTATAGGAACAAATTATTCTGTCATATTTTAATTGTGTCTGGATCCATGGTCGGCAAACTGCGGCTCACAAGCCACATGCGGCTCTTTGGCCCCTTGAGTGTGGCTCTTCCTAAGCCTTAGGAGTACCCTAATTAAGTTAATAACAATGTACCTACCTATATAGTTTAAGTTTAAAAATTTGGCTCTCAAAAGAAATTTCAATCGTTGTACTGTTGATATTTGGCTCTGTTGACTAATGAGTTTGCCGACCACTGGCTGGATTGAGCTCAGAACGCCAATGTGTCAGTAATTATGCATAGGAAAAGGCTTCAATCTAGTTTATCATCAACAAAAATGTCAAGTTACCTGCTGCTGACGGTTATTTGCTCTCACTGATGCCAAGAGATCTTCATATTCTTTTATTTGAGTTTCTTTGAAAACCAAGTCTTTTTCAAGTCTTAGCTTGTCATTTTCCAGCGACTAAAATAAAATTATGTGTTATGATTCAGAATTAAAAAAACCTTTTCCAAGTTACATAATACAAAGACTTATTTACATTGCAGGTTTAAATAAATACTTTTCATTTGTAGCTGCTTAATAAGCAGAATTCTTAAAACTTAAGCAAAATATAGATACAACAGTATTGAAACTTTAAAAACCTGCATATTGAAAGAGACAACTTGATGGACTGGGTAATTCAAAGTGCAATGAAACAGAAACTTCTGAATGATTTTAATGTTTTGCCTTAATCTAAAAAGAATTCTTGTTAATCCTAGCAGGTGGTGAATTTTCAAAGTAGAGTCTAAATGTTTTAGTTGGAACCCAGAAACAAAAAATTCCACTCCAAAGTCCTCAAGCAGTTATTCATTGTATGAAAAGCATTATGAGTGTACCTAGCTGATGGCACCAAGAACACAAATTAAAATAAAAAAGGCTAAATGCTTGAAAAAAAGAAGTTTTGAAGTATTCAAAGAAATTCATAGTATGCTTTATTATTACAGAAAATGGGGAAATTCCCATTCAATGAGTCAGATTATTCTAATTTTACAAGCTATTCCCTTGCTTTAAGCTGTAAATTACTTTAGTGGTAAACTAATTAATAAGTGCATTCCCAACTTTTTTCCTTTTTAGTGGGGCAATTCTTTTCTCCTCTCAGGCTCAGTTAAGTGTTTCAGGACAATAACTACATTTGGGTAAGTATAATGTTGTGTTCTACTAAATTTTTAAAAGGTAGACTGAGTGCCTTGACTTCTATGTTAGGAAGGTGGGAACTAGAAAAACTTTGGGGAAAAAAAATCAAAATAAATGTTACTGTCAAGTCATTTTGAAGATGTCCAAGCTCCTCCCGAATGTTGCTGAATGTGGACAGCACTAGCCGGAGTGACTTATCCGACATACCCCTCATCTGGAGGAAGAAAACAATTAATAATTTATTTTTACTAGCATTTAAAAATAAGCAATATCAGTGATAGTGATCTTAGTTTTCTTTTCTTATAAGCGAACTTATTAACATTTTTATTTTTGATATGACAATATTGTTAATAACATGTATAAATAATTCAAGCAAGTCTCCTGAAGCAATCATAGCTATGTAATTAGAACGGGGTCTATTATTTTTTCCATGATGAAGTATCATCCTTTTCACAAGACAGAAATTTCTCAGAAAATTCTCAAATTTACTTTTATTCTTTATTTAAAGATGAGAAAAGATTAGGCAAGTCAACCTTCAAATAATAAAATACATCTTCTTAAGTGTGCTGCCAAATGCATGGATTTTGTCTTAAGATGAGAAGAAAATAATACTAGGTAAGTTTAACCTTAAAGTATAGAAACATCTCCAATTTTAAAGAAGTGGGAGAAAAGCCCTTTTACAAGGAGAAATTACTTTCTTCAAAGGAAAAAAATGTTTAATGAAATTGTCATTTCTGGAAAGATGACATAGAAATACTTTTCCTTGTTTTTCCTGCTAAGTATAACTAAAGCCCTGGCTGTTATGTATAAAAAGACCCTGAAACGAGAAAAGAAAGAAGTCTGGTTAGGAACACTGGGACCTGAAGAATGACACAGAAGTGAGTTCCTGGGTTTTCTTCTTGCTTTCTTCATATATCACAGATTGGTTTTGTGGAAATCAATAACTCAGAAACACAAATGGGTACAAATAACAAAAGTCCCTAGAACAGCCTGATCTCTGTAGCCAACGGACCATGAAACGGGCAGTCTAGTGAGGTGAAGAACTTTTAAATAATAATCACTCTACTCTAGCTAAATACCATAGAAAAAAACCCTACAACTCTACTCCTACCCAAACCATCAAAAGCCAGGAAGAAAACCTACATTTTCCCCCTCACCAGGCCTTAAAAAGGTGCAACACCACCCACCAGATTAGTGTGAGAAAAGGTAGGGTGAAAAGATGAAACTTTCATCCCCACTGGGCATAAGCACTGTGGCATCAATTAAGACTATGCAAGGAACCTAGGCTCTCACCTTATTCAGCAGTAATGAGATACTGCTCCATCTCCTTGCTAGGGTGATGTCTGAGGATGCTTAGTGGAGAGTAAGGAAATGATACCACTCAACTTGCCGTGTCAGTAGAAGCCAAGTGGGAACAGTGATGAGGTACTCTTTCCTACTTATACCAGGTCCTAAAAAGGTGGGTGCCTAGTAGAGGGCCACAATTCTTACCCATGTTCTGGAGGAACAAGAAGCAAATTTCCTGATCAGTGTCAACAAAGACTAAGTGGGCACTTGGACTTCCAGCCCCAACTGGCAGTAACAGACAGTACCCTCACTTCCCCTGTTGTTTCAATATCAGAGGAAGCCTGCTACTACAGAAGATTTAAAAAAGATCCAAAGATATAATACCAAAATGTCCAAGTTTCAATTTTAAACAATCACTCCTCATGCCAAGAATCAGGAAAATCTCAAGTTGATAAGAAAAATATCTAATAGATGTCAACATCAAGATAACAGAAATGTTAGACTTGTCTAAAAAGAATTTGAAAACAAACATTATAACAATGCTTCAACAAGAAATGACAAGCTTAACACAAATAAAAAATAGAAAGTCTCAGCAATAAAATAAAAAAGTTAGAAAAGAAGTAGAAGATATAAATAATAAATGAATGGAAATTTTAGAATTGAAGAGCTCAGTAACTAAAAAATAAAAACCTCAGTGGATGGACTAAAAATAAAGGGAAATACAAAGCAAAGAATCAGCAAACTCAAAGGTAGAACAATAGGAATTGTTACTCAATCTGAACACTGATTTAAAAACTTTGAATAAAGCCTCAGAGACCTGTGGCAGTATAAAACATATCTAACATTCATGTCATCAAAGTCCTAGAAAGAAAGAAGAAAGGGTGGAGCTGAAAACATATTTGAAGAAATAATGACTGAAAACCCCCCAAAATTAGCAAAAGCCAAAAACATACATATTCAAGAAGCTGAGAAAAGTCTAAATACAATAAATCCAAAGAAATCCATGCCCAGATAAATCGGTCAGATTTCTTAAAATGGAAGATAAACTTAAAATCTTGAAAGCTATATAATTTTATTAATCAATGTCACCCCAATAAAATATATTGAAAGGAAATAAAATTATATGTCATGATTTGTGGGACACAGCTAAAACCATGATGACAGGATATTTATAGCACTAAATGCTTGCCAGAGGGAAATGAGTGAGGGGTAAAGGGGGTCAAATATATGGTGATGAAAGATGATTTGACTTTGGGTGGTGGGCACACAGTACAATATATAGATCTTGTGTCATAGAAATCTACACCTGACACCTATATGATTCTATTAACCAATGTCACCCCAAATTTTTTATAAAGAACATAGGAAAGGTCTCAAATCAATAATTTAACTTCCTATATCAAGATATTGGACACAAAAGAGCAAAATAAAGCAAAAGCAAGCAAGGAAGTAAATAATACAGACAAGAGCAAAAATCAATTGAAGCATAAATAGGAAAATAGTAGAAAAGATCAATAAAACTAAAACTTAGTTATTTGGGAAAAAAGTCAATAAGCATGATAAACCTCTAGCAAGACTGACAAAGAAAAAAGGGAAAAGACAAAAATTACTAGTATCAGCAATGAAATAAGGGATAGTAATTCAGACCCTGCAGACATCAAGAGGATAATAAGGGGATACTGTGAACAACTATAATAATATAAATTTGACAATTTAGATGAAATGGACTATTTCCTTGACAATCATACTACTCAACCAATATGAAACATCATTTGAATATACCTATAACTATTAAGGCATTGAATTTAGAGTTTTAAAAACTCCTGCCAAACAAATATTCAGGTCCAGATATTTTCACAGAAGGATTCTACCAAATGTTTGAAAAAAGAGAGAACCCAGAAATTGACCCAAATCATTATGTTCAATTAATATTTGACAAAGGAGGCAAGAGCATACAATGGAGCCAAGACAGTCTCTTCAATAAATGGTGGGAAAATTGGACAGGTAAATGCAAAAAATTAAAACAGACCACCAACTTACATCATGCACAAGAATAAACTCAAAATAGATAAAATACTTAAATGTAAGTCGTGAAACAGTAAAAATCTTACAAGAAGCCATAGGCAGCAAAATAGCAGACATATGTCGTAGCACTAGCTTTACCAATATAGCTCCTAAGGCAATGGAAACTAAGGAGAAAATAAACAAATGGGACTACATCAAAATAAAAAGCTTCTGCACAGCAAAAGAAACCATCAACAAAGTGAAAAGAGAGCCACTGCATAGGAGAACATATTTGCCAATGACATACTAGCATCTGATATAAGGAGCTAATTTCCAAAATATATAAGGAACTCATACAACTTTAAAAAAGGAAGACAAACAATCCAATCAAAAATAGGCAAAGGATCTAAATAGACTCTTCTCCAAAGTGGACATACAGAAATCCAAGAGACATGTGAAAAAAATGCTCAAAGTCACTAAGTATCTGGGAGATGCAAATTAAAACAACAATGAGGTATCACCCCAAACCTATCAGAATGGCTATCATCAACAAATCAACAAATGACAAGTGCTGGCGAGGATGTGGAGAAAAAGGAACCCTCCTGCACTGCTGGTGGGAATGCAGACTGGTGCAGCCACTGTGGAAAACAGTATGGAGTTTCCCTCAAAAAGTTAAAAATGGAACTGCCATTTAACCTAGTGATCCCTATTCTAGGAATATTATATTCTAAGAAACTCAAAACACCAATCAGAAAGGATATATGCACCCCTATGTTCATAGCAGCACAATTTACAATAGCTAAGATTTGGAAACAGCCTAAGTGCCCATCAGCAGATGAATGGATTAGAAAACTATGGTAAATCTACACAATGGAATACTACACTGCTGTGAAAAGAAGGAACTCTTACCATTCACAACAGCATGGATAGACATAATGAGTATTATGCTAAGGGAAATAAGCCAGTTAGAGAAAGATAAATATCACATGACCTCACTCATTTGTGGAATATAATGAACAACATACACTGATGAACAAAAATAAATCCAGAGACAGAGAAGCATTGAACAGACCCTCAAACCTCAGAAGGAAGGCAAGGGCGGGGGAGGGGTAAAAGATCAACCAAAGGACTTGTATGCATCCATATAAGCTTAACCAATGGACACAGACAGTAGGGAGATGAGGGCATGTGCTGGGGGGTGGGCATAGCTGGGTAGAGGTCAATGGGAGAAAAAGATATGTGTAACACTTTAATCAGTAAAGAATAAAAAAAGAAAGAATATGTGCACCCCTATGCTCATAGCAGTGCAATTTACAATAGCTATGATTTGTAAACAGCCTAAGTGCCCATCAGCAGATGAGTGGATAAAAAAAGCTGTGGTACATTTGGAATACTATGCAGCTACAAAAAAGAAAGAACTCTTACCATTTGCAACGGCATGGATGGACCTGGAGAGTATTATGCTAAGTGATATAAGCCAGTCAGAGAAAGATAAGTGTTATATGATCTCATTCATATATGAAAACTAATAAACCAAATAAACTGATGATCAAAAATAGACCCAGAGTCATAGAAGCATGGAACAGACTGGTGAATTCCAGAGGGAAGGTGGAGTTGGGGGGTGGGGAGTGATTTACTGGGGAACTTATATGCATAAATGGACACAGACAATAGAGTGGTTAAGGCCTGGGAGGGGCGGATGTGGGGTGGAGGAGGTCAATGGGAAAAACAAACAAATGGACATCTGTAATACTTTCAACAATAAATAAAAAATAAATAAATAGAAGAAGACGATACCAAGTCTATGACTATCTTCCAGAAAATAGAAAAGGAAGAACCCTTCCTCATTTCATTTTATGAAGCTAGTTTTATTATTATCCTGACGACAAAACTAAAGATAATACAGGAAAGGAAAACTACAGACCAATGTCTCTCATAATCTTAGATGCAAAAATTCATAGAAGGAGTTTGGGTTGGGTTTTTTTTTTGCAGAAATAAATTATGAATGCACTTTAGATGAGCATCCCACCTCCAGAGATAATATTAAGAATTTCTCCAAGATTCAGGTTCTGCAGAGCATATGTGTGCCCCATACCACTTTCTCTTTATTATACAGAATGCATACCACTAAAAATAATATTTCATTTAATTTTTACAAATATAACACCAAGTCCAAAATTTAGATAAACAAAAGTTTGAGACCAACTATCAAATTTAGATATTGTCTTCAGAACCCTTTTTTGTAAACACATGTATTCTTTTTAGTCATATTCTCACAGCACCTATCTTGGTCTATCTCTCCCTTCATTATATTGGAATTTACTGCTCCAGGGGTCTCCAGCCTCCCACAATTTAAGAAAAGCATGGCACTTGCTTTTCCATCTCTCATTGGCAGAAGTATGGTGGAGAAGGGTAGAGGAGGAGAAGAGGAGGGCAACAGATATAAGTCAGGTTTTGCTACAGCAGTGAAGAGAGACTAAGGGCATTCCACATTGAGGAGTAAAACAGGATGGGGCAAAAGTAAGTTTACAGTTGTTCATATGGAAAATAATACACTAATAAATAAATAATAATATAAGAATAAACTCTGTGTTTCACATACTCACAACTGTAAACCTATGTTTGCCCCACCCTTTATTTCTTGAATGCTTTCCTGTATGTTAGTCATATTCTACTTGTGTTTGTGATCTGATCAAACTATAATGTAATCCTTTTAAAATCAAAATACAGTATAATCAATTCTTGTGAAAAAGGATTTTTATTTGAAAATTTCTGTTCTTAATTAAGGGAACAATTCTAACCTAAAGGTTTGTTAGTATTGTTCTCACACCCACTCTTGACACCATCTCACCTGCAAAATATAGCGAATTTGCTGTTTTGTAAACTCTGACAATCCTTTGGGAATCAAGGATTCAATGTCTTCTGACTGTAAGAAAAGAGAATGTTATCCATTGAACAGTTACACATTATTATTTTAATCTTAGGGTCCGCAGTCCACAGACTTGTGCATTGGGCTTATTTTTAGGGACATCAAAAACTTATTTCACTTTTCATGTAATAGTTGCTACAAATTTCATTTCTAGCCTAGTCAGTTTTTACTTTTAAAAGTTAGCCCGAGCTGGTTTGGCTCTGTGGATAGAGCATTGGCCTGCGGACTGAAGGGTCCTGGGTTCAATTGCAGTCAAAGGCATATGCCCGGGTTGTGGGCTGGATCCCCAGTAGCGGGCTTGCAGGAGGCAGCCAATCAATGATTCTCTCCCATCATTGATGTTTCTATCTCTCTTTCCCTCTCTCTTCCTCTCTGAAATCAATAAAAATATTTTAAAATAGATTATACTACACACACCATGGGAAAACCCCTCAATTTTAGGCACTGTAGGGAAAAGCTTTGGGCAACCAAATGTTCCATTTTTATTTTTTCAAAAGAGCAGTTGAAAAACAAGAGGATGGCCCTGGTCTCAGTTGGTTGGAGCATTGTCCTGTACACCAAAAGTTTGCACGTTTGATCCAGGTTGGGGCACATATGGGACACAACCAATTTAAGTTTCTTTTTCCTCTCTCTCTCTCTCTCTCTCTCTCTCTCTCTCTCTCTCTCTCTCTCTCTTCCTCTCTCTCTAAAATCAGTGGAAACATATCTTAGGGTGAGGTTTTAAAAATAAAACAAATTTAAAAATCAGAATAAGGGGATGGCCTCTTAAATCCCATGAGACACTTTATTTCAGTGTATCTCTTGAAAACCTTTTGGAATTTTTGTTGTGTGTTAGATATGACATTTTAGAGGTTAATTTTAAACAATAAAAATTTGGAGAAATACAATAATATTAAGGGTTTATGGAAATTTACATAGAACTGTGGTGATTTTTGAAAGATGATGTTGCCACAGCAACACTGAGAATCTTCAACTAATTTTAAGTGAGAGGCTATATTGAAGTCAGTATTTTTAAAGGCAATTTAGAGCTTACTGAAAAAAATGAAATAAATCCAGTTTATCAATAAATTGGAAACAAAGATAAAAATTCACACGAAGGAGGCCATTGTGCTTTGTTACATTGAAATATATTCTTTCTCTATTTTGTGACTTATTCCATTAAAAGTAATTATTAACAAAATGTGCATATATAATAGAATTAATATTTGAAAAAAATGCTGTGAGCTGCTATTTGTCACAGGACATACAAGGTTTCAAAGTACATTAAAACTAAATTTGCTATTTATTTAGTCAATGTATATTTTAATTTTATAAAGCAGAGAATATGTGGTCAATTAAATTTTAAATATCCTGATAATCAAAGACAAATTAAATCATAAAGTGACAGCTGATAAAACATTTTTTGTATGACTGATTTCAGATTATTGCTTTTACAGCCATTACAAAGACATAAATGGCTATATCACATTAAAAGCAAAATGATCATTATTTCTTGTTCCATGTTTGATTTTTAACTCTCTTTTACACTTACCTCATCTGTGGACTCAAAGTCTTGTTTGCTGCAAGAATGAAAAAAAAAGATGGACAACCTTAGGGAAATATGTACATTGATCATACATAAATGCTAATGTTTTAATTACTTTATCTCACTTTTCAATATATCATAAAAGCACCAATTCAATTTATAGTCCAAATAAAAAATTTTTAAAATAACTGAAATGTCACTTCAAAAATGTAAAGATAATTTTCTTGTAACTAGCTAATCTGTTAAAAATAAGCAATACCCAAATAACAAACCGATAGAATATGCAGAATTGGTTAGTATCATCCATTAACACCAGTCTGTTTGAGGCTGGATGTCAAAGTCCTCAGTGCTTGGCAATAAATACTGCCTGAGTGAATAAATAATGATAATAGTTGTTCTCTATTTATACATCCTCTTTCTCTTTGTATTGCCCCTTTTCAATGCTGATTCCAGTGATTTCAAGTATTATCAAAATCCAAACTTGCAAAACAAGATTGAGAAATTCATTCAATATACACTACAGTATAAATGGCAGAGACAAAGTTTAAAGGGTATTTGAATATTTGCATAGGGACGGACAGACCTTAAGCAACATGACCAAAATTTTAGTATAATAATATAATTTCCAGCATCAAAATGAGGGTTGGAAGGCCCCTTTTTTAAACTTATTGACACTATTACAGATGTCCCCCGTTTCCCTCTTTTACGCAACCCCTTTTTAAAGCCATATTAGGAAGGCAAAAGCTGGAAGAGAATTGCTAGTGACTATATCAGTCTGGCACTTGCTTCTTTGGGGAGTGGTGAAAGCTGGGAAGCATACAGTTCTAATGTTGTCAGTGGCAACAGACAGGCCTTTATTTTTGCCTATTTGCTCTCTCTGCACTTAGTGGAAGAATTGGGCCCAAAATACATTTAGTGAATATACTTCTCAAAAAAACAAAAACACTACACATGTTCTGACAGCAAGCTAGAATATCTTAAAATAAGACAGTCTCAGAAAATCATAAATATATGATTGACATATCCTCAGTAAAACAGAAAAGTGTTTTAGAGATATTAAGCTAGTACAATAGCTCCTATATTTCCTACATTTACCTTCTAAGTAAGTGCTTATGAGTAATATACTGCTAATTGAAATAAATGGGTCACTCACTGGGCAAAACCTTTTGTATGCATTTATAAAAATAAACAAGCTAATGTGGAGAAGAACTGAAGATTCCATTTCCCAAGACATGACTACATATGTGCAATCATATGCATGTATGTATATATGTATGCATGTGGTATTTCTGTGTTGTCCCCCCAAATAGAAATTGTGGGGAGGCCACAGCAAAACAAAATAAAGTATCTTCTACTTATTTAATATTTTACTAAAGTAATTACATGCATATATTGGAAGGTAAAACAAGTTAAAATATGAATCACAATGCAGTTTTAGTAGTCTTGCCCTACTGATAACTGGAATCATCACTTTATTAAAATTCCAATTCTAATGCCGACCTAGTACACAGGTCTCTAGTCCCTTACTTTTTTCTACAAATAAGAAAATAATACAAAGAAATAAAGCAAGAAGCACTGGAATATTAAAGAGTAACCAGAATGGTTTAATGAGACAGCTTTCCTTAATTTTGACCCTGAAATTTTGGGTCAAATTTTGACCAAGGATTACACTCCTTGCTGAATTGTAATTTAGAAAGAGAAGTGGAGACAAAAGGGGAGGGAGGGAGAAAGTGGAAAAAGAGCAGAGCAGGGAGGTGGAAAGGTCATTGTGGATTACATCTCTATTCAGCACTGGCAGTTGGTGACTAAAATTACATTGTGTGAGAAATAGAGTGGCCCTCACTTCATACCATCTCATCTCCTAGGTAGAAAGAAATGTAATACGGAAAAACAAAACAAACAAAAAAAGAGAAAGAAAAGAAAGAAAGAAAGAAAGAAAGAAAGAAAGAAAGAAAGAAAGAAAGAAAGAAAGAAAGAAAGAAAGAAAGGAGGGAAAGAACGAAGAGAAAGAAACTGACAACCTTATGACAAACAGAAACATATAAACTCCTCTCCATCCTGGAGCGTTTACTAATGTTGCAGATGCTAGCTTTCAACTTTTTTGTTAGCTACTCTAGGAATTAAATTCAAAGCTTTGCAGTCTTTAATTACACATTTATATCATCCATGTATATTTATCAAAACCTTCACATGAGAGAAAGTTCGTTAGAGACCTCAGATTAAAATTTACCTGGATGATTATTATGAAATAATTCAACTTTCCTTGTATAGCTACTTCTTCTACTTCTATTTAGTATGAGACTATAAATTTAGAATACATTGAACTCTAATTCTGTAAATCTTTATTTAACAGAGACTTTGTCAAGGCCACATGCTCTGAACTCTTTTGGGGCAATACAAAACACAAATATTATCTTGTACTTTATACAAACATAATTGTTTCAAGGCAAAATTTGCACAATATAAAATTGGTCTAAATCCTGTGACCTTTGAAATTTGATGATTCAAATTTTTGATAATTTCTTAAAATTGTCAGCAATATTTTAAACATTTTGGAATACATATCTAGTAATGAAAAGTCAAGTGATTTGCCCACAGAGAAAGGCTCTCAGAGTATAGGTACTAGTCCCAGATTTTGCCACTTTTGTAGCCTTAGGCCAACGATTTTCCATCTTTTTAATCTCATTGCACGCATAAACTAATTACTAAAATTCTGTGACACACCAAAAATATATATTTTATTTTCTGCCATTCTGACAAAAATACAGGTATAATTTTGATTCATTCACACTGGACGGCTACTGGTGTGTTGGCTGTTGTCATTTTTTATTATTTTATTCTTTATTGATTAAGGTATTACATATGTGTTTATTTGACAATATAAAGGAAAGAGATCAGTGCCCCTGACTAAGTAGTCAGGTATTGCATGTTTTGAAAATTCTTGTGGCACACTGGTTGAAAATGCTGCCACAGGTCAAATGCTTCTCAAACTTGAGAATGTTTCAGAATCCTCTGGGGTGCTTGTTGCTGGGCCCTACCCTCAGAGTTTCTCATTCTGTAGGTCTGTTTCCAAGCTCTCACATGATGCTGATGCTGCTTGTAAGTACATGGATCTAGAATCAGGGTACTTAAGATTATGTCTCTATATGCTCTTGATTTTATAAGGTGACACTTTGATACAAACATTCACAGGACATTATTAATGTGCAGAAGAGTAGCTCCAAGACCAAAATGAATATCTAAGGAAGACTTTGTAGAAAAGCTAAGTCATAATTTATAGCTAAAGAGTACTCAAAATGTTTTAATTCATCTCAAGCACTTAGAAGGTATGTGACCTTAAGTCAATAACTTTCTCTTTGAGTCTTCATTTGAAACTTACTAGGGTAACTGTGTCAATTAGATAATATTTAAAAAACACAGAGTGTAGTACAGAGTAGACAATGAATAATTACTCAGAGTAAGGGGGAAAGGTTTTAAGGTAGTGACTTATACAAATGGATGAATCTGTGAAACAGTTGTTTAGGTAATCAGAGAAGGTGTTGATTTGTATAAAGAGTAATGAAGGCTTAGCTTTGAAGGTGGGAATCATGTGCTGGCAGTAGGATTGTATCTTGTACCATCAATGTAATATCTTAAAATAAGTTATAGTTTATCATGCATTTTTGAGCTCCTTGTCCAAGAGGCTGCATTTGCCATCAAAATACATTACAAAAGAATATATAGAGAATTTTTTTACTGATCCTAGAAGGGCTGGTGTGATCTCTTTGATGATTTTCATAAAGTACATTAACTCTAAAAATGAAACATTTGCTATATCTGCATATATAATTGTGCTGTTTCTCCATTAAAAGTACTAGAGTTTTGCTGTGGACCTAAAAAGGCTCTAAAAATAGTCTGTTAGAAATACTACAGTATTATAAATGTTTGATTAGGTACACTATCAAAGCAAATAATATATTAACCATACCTTCCTCCAATTCTCTGCAAATGTTCTAACAGGCAGTGATAGAGATCTGCATTTTTGCGGTTTAGATCAGCAAGTAACTCTCCAAAATATTTGGGATCCAATTTTTCAGGGCCATCATCCTGAATTATCACCTGAAGAAAACATCAACCTCAATTATAAACAATATTAAGTATTTCTAAATTCACAGATGTTTTGATATGAAATGAAAAATGTGAAATAATGATTAATACAAGTAACCAATTACAAAGTCACCTCATGAATCAAGCCACAATTTTTTTTTTTTTTGCATCTGGGGTATACATTTTTCAATATGGGATGAATTTAAAGTAAAGCAACATTGTGATAACATTTTAAATTTCATACAAATCTAAGTGACCTAATAAATGCAAAACTTGAATAATTTATATAAAAATTCTGGAACATAGATGCTTAAGTAAAGCAGTAAAACAAGTAAATGAAAATCTCTGAATTGTGCATTATCACCACATGGCTTACCCATCTGTCCCATTTTGGAAAAGAAAATGTGAATTACTTGAATTATACTGACTATAGAAGAATTAATTTCATTTGGAATTGCATCTTCTCAGTGAAAGTTTGATTTATTAGTATATCTTAAAGTTAGATTAAATAAACCTTAATGTAATGTGTTTCTATGTATTTCTTTTTTAAATCTTTTTTATATTTTAAAAATTTAAATTTATTGTTTAAGCTATTACAAATAGTAGTACATATGTCTCCCTTTTTTCCCCATTGACCTCCCCCTGGCATTTATTATTTGGATTGAATATCCAATCAATTTGACATTGGAAAGAGTGGCATAGGGCCAAATGTAGAAAATTCTTAGACCCAGGAGACTTTTCAAATCCTAAACACAAAATACTCTGAGTAATATCCTAAATAAGATCTATTCTAATAACTTCATGTTGTTTGGTCCCAATCTTTTCTACTTTTTTATCCACCTTGCCTCTGATCTCCAAAACAACACTACTTGGATGTTAATAACTTAAGCTGCATTTCAGACCATCTTTGATATTGCATGTGGGACCAAAGGTGCCCTATAAACACACATATTCCTAAGCATATGTATAATAAATATACTTCAAATTTGACCAATGATATTTCCTTTTCAACCCATCTTCTGGATGCAGACCCTAAAAAATCACGCATGCTGAGGCAAATGGAATAATTGCAAAATAAACAAAGATGAGCTTTCACAATTATGCCTGTGATATTATAATCCATTTATAAAATAGATAAATGAGGGAAAGTCATACTCAATATACAGTATAGTGTGATCATGTTTTTATTAAGATATATATTTTTCACATTTTTAAAAGTCTGAATGAATACATTACAATGTTATCTTGTCCATGTACCCTTTCAAGTTGCTTTCTTAGAGAAGGATTGTTTCCTAAACAGAGTAGGCTTCATTACACAGTATATTAAAATGCCATAGACTTAATAAGTTGTATGTATTAAATATAAAACCTTTAAATGCTTACATGACCATAATAATGACCATTATATTTCCCAACATGTTCTCTGTTTCAGCAATAGTAGATTACACTTTCCAGGGCATACATCACATTATTCTGGCCTCTAGGCTTTACTCACATTTTTGCTACTTTGAATATTCTTCAACAATTGCTGCATATTCAAATCTTACCCATCCTTTGAAACCCATCTCAAGATCTACTACCACCATGAAAACTGAAACTATTCTAGCTAACAAGGTAATTCAATTTAGCTCTTTGTGCTCAATTATCTTGAATTTTTTCATATTATTTTACACATGTAAATCTTATTCTCCCAGCACCCTCTCCCTACCTAAAAGAAATAAGCAAACTTAAGAGTAAAAGAATGAATCATATTTTTGGTATATCCCATAGTATCTAGCACAATACTTATTGAACACCCTATAGCTGCTCATTAAGTACTTGTTAAATTGAAAGAAGTCATCTACCTGGTTAGAAGTGACCCCAGATACTAGCTGATTCTGGAAAAAAAAATCTCTCTCTCTCTCTCTCTCTCTCTCTCTCTCTCTCTCTCTCTCTTTGCAGGTTTCTCTCTTAAAGCAGCTAACTAGGAATGATTAAGAATAAAAGAAAAGATAAAGAAAAATGCATAAAAGAACATAGTCAACACTACCTCAACAATATCATAGTAATCCCTTTTACCCATTTCCCTAAGTTTGGACCAGTAATTATTGCAATTATCCTGAACTCCTTGTAGAGTTGGAAACTGATATTTGGGTTCTACATAGATTTCTAGATCTTGGCAAACAGATTCTTAGCAACAGGCCCCCACCGGAAACAAAGGTCTAATTAAGCAAATCTGTATTCAGAGTAATCATGAATACTTCTGATTTTATATTTCATTCATCCATTTCTCCCTTATGGACCATCTATATAGTCACCAAACATGAGTCTGCTCTCTATGTTTATGTGTCTGTTGCAATTTTGTTTGGTGGTTGCCAAAAGGAAGGGGCTTGTGGAACTGGGTGGAAAAAAAGAAGAGATAAAGAAGTACTAATTGGTAATTACAAAAATAGTTATAGGATATAAAGTACAGCATAGGGAATATAGTCAATAATATTGGGATAACTATGTATGGGGCTAGGTGGGTGCTGGAAATATCAGGAGAAACATGTTGTAAAGTAAATGATGGTCTAACCAACCAGTATGCTATACACAGGAAACCAATACAAAATCATATTGAAAGTAAACTGTAATTGAAAACAAAATCAAGCCTGGCCAGTGTGGTTCAGTGGTTGAGCATGGTTCAATTCCCAGTTAGGGTACAAGCCCAGGTCGCAGGCTCCATCCCCAGTAGAGGGCATGCAGGGGGCAGCCGATCAGTGATTCTCATCATTGTTTTTTCTGTCTCTCCCTCTCCCTTCCTCTCTCTTAAATCAATAAAAAAAGCATTTTTTAAAAGAAAAAAATCAAGCTTAACTAGATAAGAGGAAAATCTAGCTGTCATGTCAATGTCATTCCATTGATCCTTAGGTTATTTCATTGCTGTAGCTGGCCAAATAGATACTATTTTCTTGCCTCACCTCTCTATGTGTGCCCCTTCTAAAACTAAGTTTTCCAAGCAGAAAGATTTTATTTAGCCAAGGATATTCAAGTACCGAGCTCCCCTGTTAGAATCTCCAAACAACTGATTTGATATGTTTAGTGTTTTGCACATTTTTTCTAATAGGGGATTGTAATCCCTTCATCATAATGTGAAAATTGTTTCTTTTTTCCTTCAAGTTTGATTCATTTGACATAGTACTTCCATCATTTCAGATTGTCTTGAAATATTTATTTCTTTTTGTGCAAATATTTTCCTAGCATTGCACTTCATACTAGTAGATCTTTCATGTACATAAGACTTCACCCACATGAATCTTAATGCCATTATTAAAATTTTTACTTATGTGATTTGGATGTGGTGGAAAATGTAGGTACCTAAATAGAGAATTACAGAGCTCAGGACAAGGAATGATTTACATTAATTGTGTGTTTCATATTTAGAAAGCAGTGTTAAAAGTTACTAAAGGTATGTGATTTTATTTTGAGAAATGGTATTAATAACTACTGTTTATTAATCTCTTACCATGTGCCAGGCATTGTACTGTAAACTTTATATAAATATTAAATGAAGTAATGCAGTCTTGTAACCACTACACAATATTGTCTCCCCAGATGACATCTTCTGTTTGTTTTCATTGCAATTCCAAAGGAGTTACTTTGGAATTGCAATCTTCCTAACTGCATTATTTTGGAGGTTAGTTGTTTGATTTTATTAGTGTGAAACTATGCTAAGTATGCCTGAAATTCAAATAATAAATTTGAATCAGCTGGAGAAAGGGTTAGAACATTAGAATTAAAGAATCAGTTCTTCTGGAAAAAGACATGTCAAGGTGGAAAAGAAGGGAACACAATTTCACTCCTTTGTGTATATATTCGTTCTCAGTTTTGTACAACTTACTATTTACAATAACATTTGAGTACACTCAGTAAAATCCAAAACCCAGTTGGGTTCAAAAGTTTGGAGGAGAGAGGACAGACAGAAGTCAGCTTCTAAACTACTGTTAAATCTTTGACAGGACTATGCTCAACAATAAGATGACATTTTCTAACCATGAACAGTGATGTGCCAGTTCACAATTTTTTGCATTTACTAAATCACAAGTCTTTAGAGCTTCTTAGGTTTTTTTTGTGTTTTTTTGGGGGGGGAAGGTGGTATAGCAAAGGTGAAGATTTATTGAAGAACAAGTACAGACTCCCATGTGGGGAGGGGGAAAGAGTGCCCTTCTTTTATTTTAACTGTTTGCAGGTGTGTTTTGAGATATCTTTTTAGAATTGGCTCAATGTCATGCTCATATGTATACATTAACACATTTTTTAATTCTCACAGAGGAATAATGAAAAATTCATAATAAAATAACATGACACCATGAAAATGTAATCTGCAAACTGAGAGTAATAAGAGCCATCCTCTGGTTGCCTTTAAAAAGCCAATATCAGGAGCCTCCCAAGCCAACTTGAGTTTGGGGTCAGAATAATGATAGAAAACTGGGTAGAGGTTTTCTCTCTGTGACAATAGTGAGTTGATAAGATATTTGAGATATGTGCATGGCCCATATCTACTCTCTGCTTAATGAATGAGAGCTATTTTGAATGTCAATTTTGGATAATAGATTTAACTTTTTTTATATAAACAGGGAAGGGATACAAACTGTGTTGAAGAATAGTCATTTTCAGATATGCAAAATGTGATATTTCTCAAAAAATTACAAAAAGTTAAAGATTCTTTAATTAGTTAACTATTTGACTATAATAATAGCCAAGCAATCCAACATCTTATCTCTGATTGTAGGTAAAACACACACACACACACACACACACACACACACACACACACACACACAACTTTGCTTAGAATTGCTGCCACAAACACAAGACAAGGCAACAATGTTAGGTATGAAAGCAGAGATAAATTAGTGATCATTTCTTAGAGAATTTGTAGAAAGGAAGTACTTTGTAAAGGGAAAACTTGGGCCTCACCTCACTATTGCCTTGGAAGTTCTTGTCCTGGTTCCAGTTTTTTTTGTTGTTGTTTTTTTTTTCTTGTTTGTGGT